TACAACCTATTATTATTATTACTATTCTGCTTTTATGACTACACCGAATGACCAACGGGAGTTAGGTCAAACTCCATTCACGGCAGCAATACAGTCCTAACATACTGCATACTACAAACCACATCTCGACCAATCCCCGCACCACTCCTCTTGGAGTCTACCAGAGCTAAAGCAGTCGAGTGGCGGGACTTACTACGCAGAAGCTCACCGAAGATCTGGAACCTCTACCTCACAATCAAGAAGCGAGCTCAAAGAAATTACTGGTTCATACTGGCTCGTGATCAGGATATTGGATATTGGATTATCATTCTGATCGTTTTCTCTCTTCCAACGAACAGCGAACTATGAAATGTTGACTGCTGGATTGAAGAGTCTGGCGAAAAAACACTCCTTATTACTGCGCTATTAACTGTATGTAAGATGAAAATCTATCCTGTTTCACTCTACAACAACATTAATATTCCAAATGATCTTTCTTGTTTTTATTGGTACATTTTACACAGCTTTCCAAACATTTTATTTCCTTCTAAAGTGTTAGCATTTTCAAATACATACAGGTAAATAATTGTGAATGCAGTTGAAGATTGAACGATCAATTCTTGGTTGTTTGCTCAAAATCAACTTCCCCAATTTTCGCGGAGGCATCAATACGACAGTCATCGTCTCATCGGTCGCTGTTCAGAAAGAAGTCAGTAGCAAACCATCAGAAGTAATCTCGTGATTTATTATTGTAATATTTGTTCACAGACCCTAGTAAAAACATTATTTTTATATGTTGTTGTAACAATAAAGAATCCTCGAGTCAACAACTGGTGTTTTGGTTATTTCGTCCGTTATTACTAAGCGTTTCTGAAAAACTTCAAGGAACAGCGTGAGTCCCAGCGTAGCAAGAGCTGGGCATTAACGGTTTACGAGACGTGACTGACAACATATGTAATATATTATATTATTATTAAATATATGCTCATTAATTGGTTGTGCAGTTTGTCATACTGATGACGCCTGTAAAGTGGCGTCCCTCACGTACAAAAATTGATGATATATTATCATTATATAATACACTTTACGGAGTGTTAATTCAACCTGCTTGCAAGATATCTCTTTGACTGACAACCTGTAAAGAGATCATCCTGGAGTTTACAGTCATCTGCAGGTAAATGTTTGTTTTAGACAACATCTGCTGATTCATTCAAGATTAAATTCAACCTGAACAAATGGATATTAGGAAGAAAAGCATAGAATTAGTGGAAAAGATAAAAACAACATTGTATAGAAGTTGATCAGAAAAAAGCATCCAGCAGTTATCATTCTTCCGCTTCGATTCCCTCATTTTAATTTTCGCTTGTCGGCTTTTGCGTATTCCTTTTGAAGTAACGTAGCTTCTTCAGTCTGGACAGTTTATTGTACTTTGTAACTTTTTAAAATTATTTCTGCATAACAAGCTACTGTTAACGGTGCTTTCATGGAGTTTTCCACTCCAGATTTTCATACAAGGACGGCTGGAAACATATCCATCCTTAATTCAGATAAAGATAGATCAATATTTGTAAGTCTGAGGTCAAATTTTGATCACAACTCATACAATTTTGTTTATTGTACATGTTGATGCCTGTTTTATGACTCATGATTGGACAAAGTTTTTAAAAATAAGAGATTTTCCTTTTATATATAAACCTCTGTTATGTTAATTTCGATTAATTTCCCTGAATAAGTTCGGACCAGATTGCCGAACGAAACGTTGGAATTACTCATTTCAATATCGCTGAGATTTTACAAATATAACTTTTTACAAATGTCTACTTCTCACTCGGTGCCCAGATATTTTAGAACTATTCTGTCAAATCTTGACTACAGTTCATTTGACTTGAATTGAACACTGTCGTTTAAAAATTATGAAGACTGCTGGTGAACCAGTCTAAGTTTCGGACGTCGATGTTCTCTACCGATTCGACAAAAGATGTGAAACTGAGACGCTAATTAGGCCTGTACGAAGTGGTGAAACACTTGATTTTACACTTGTAACAAGCACGTTCAGACCAGGAATTATTCCCGCGACACCTTAGTGTATGCTGAACAATTTTAGTTGCGTTACCCACAGAGACAGCACACTTAACAAATAAGGCCCTATGGATAGTTCCAAAGCCAAACAAGACAAGAATAACAAAACAGATATTGGTTACAATATAATGGAATCCACACGGACGACGAATCATCACTTCGTAGGTGGTAATTCATTAGCATTCTATTACCATCGGTACTCGGAATCATGAAATCTTCAAGTTGCGTTCAAGGAATAGCGATATACAAAGGTACTCTGTGACACAGGATGCAGACTTAAAAAAGTCGTTCACCGCACAAAGTGAGATGTCGGCATGTACTCCTACTCCTGTAGGCGCCGCGCACGTACCAGCTTTAATATTTGCTGGAGTGTTGTGTCCACTCATGCTGATGAAACCCATCAGTTAAAGAATTTCCGTTGCACTTCCTTGGCAAGCGAATGCTGACCCCATACCTTATTCAAAAATGCATTTAGGTCATCTTCTCACCAGTTCGCACCCATTTAAGCCAGTTCGACCAAATAGTAGACGTTCTTCAGTTAATATTCCACTCATCTTTCTCGTTCACCGAAGTGTCTTTTCACAGCCGCGGATAATTTTGCCAAATAACGAAGTGAAACATGTTTAGTGAATGTATAGTGCCACGTTAATCACTGTTTTTAGTAACATTAAAATACCTTGTAGATATATAGAATACAGAGTACTGGACGAATGCGCATAGCTCCATTTGGCATACTTAATCCATCACACTATTCACGCAAGTCATTTTGCCCTCAGTCAGCAAGTAATTAGTTTACTAAAAATGTTGATGATATTCGCGATGGTGCTGAACTTCCACGTCTCTACTGGGGATAGAAAAATTTACATATATGTGTACAGTCTTGGACCTACCACATAAACCTTCAGCGCGCCCATCTTGCCGACCCGCTCCGCAAATTCAGTCACCCAGTAAATACGCCTCCTCCTTAGGATGACTGTTATTATAATTGTCATAACGGGGTGTTTCTTCTTCGTGGTTGTCATCTAGCTTGAATGGGCCTGCAAACACGAAAACGCAGACAAACGTTCACTATAAAGCATTCCTTACTGAGATTGAGACACGAAAGACAGATTCAAGTGCGACAACAACAAAAAAGTTTCATTATTCAAAATATGTGGCATGTATTGTTCACAGGACCACCGAAATTTAAATCGTAAATGGGCCAGCCACAGAACTGTCTTGTGTGGTTTTCATTTTGATGGATGCATAAATCATGACTTAACAGGTAGCAACGATAAGTCGCCCACCCTAGTACCTGTAGCGGCTTTAAGAAGTTCAAAACTGAGGGTCAATCCGAAGACATTTCTTAGGTCTGCTTAGATATTGCAACTTTCGTAAGACCGGCGAATTCGGTTCGGTTGGAGACTTCATGCTTGTTTCTCAGCAGAGGATATCCACTGGTTAAACTTCCCTGGGACTGGATGGCGGTGTCTTCAAAACGTTTTCGCGATAAGGTTTACATGTCATGACCACAACAGTCGTCTGAACATCACTTCATATGTAAGTGTACTGGTTTTGTCTTCAATTACTCCCGTTGTTCATATGGGTATGGCACTTCGAAAATCACAGGCCAATACAGATTAACCATGGCGAAAATGTCTCAGTTTTGCCTCATGACTTTTGCTGCACTATTCTTCCATCTACTCATTTCCCGATGTTTCCATTCAAGATCTTAGAAGTAAATTATCCTGCAAACTACGGATTTCGCATCAGAATATGTGTTCAGGCGGTGACTGTCCATTATTACTCAGTGAATCCGGTGTTCGTCGATGATTCAGAAAGAACGTTTGAAGTACTCAGTTTATCGTTTCCTTCTCCTCTTTGATTCTCAGAGGAGTGTACCAGCAAAACGTTCTGCTTAACTGTTCGGCTGTGGATGTTTGAGTGAACATCGGATACGCTGATGGGTATTTTCTTGACAGTATTACTGAAGCGACTTGATGTAAACTGCATTATTTTATTGATTAGAACTATATCAGGTAATTTGAAACGGAGGAATGCCTCCCTAGTTGTCGCAGAAACATTTTTTGTAAGAAAGGCTTCTAGCCATTTTGAAATGCGTCAAATACTAACAGGAATTGTTTCCGGTGGGGAGAACCAGGAAAATCAACACCAAATCTTGACTATGGATATTATGGGATGGACCATGTCTATAGTTGTGTATCCACCTGCAGCTTACTAGCTTTTGGACGTCTGCTACAACTTTGGACGATGTATCTCAACTCACCATCTAAATTTGGGCAGTAAACATAGCCCTTAGTAACTACCTTCATGCTAGTAATCCCATCGTGAGATAAATGTAGCTGATGGAGAACTGCACTTCTCACTACCTGTGAGACCACCACAAAATTATCAAACACTAAACAGTTATCTGCAGCTGAGACAGAATTTCTTTATTGATAAAACTGTTTCATTTATGGAGTGGTGGGTTGTAGTGGCCGAACATATATAAGGAATCTCATTGCTTTACTTATCACAAGAACACAGCAGCTGGTGCTTTCACCAGTGATACTGATAAGACTGTAGATCTGAAAGCGTTGATTTGTGGAGTTTAACACAGGAAAGGCTGATAAAATAAACAAGAGTGTGCAAATTTTATTCTTTTCAAAGTCCACAGGAGATTGGACAGTTTCATTCTCGACTGCTACCAGAAGCTGTAAAAATTAAAAGTGTTAACCTGTCTTCATATCGTCAAGTAATTAATATATTTTTGCAGAGGAACAGCTTCAATCGGAATTCTTGATGCTCGTGAATCAGCGCGCAATATAATCCCGTCAAGGTGACTCCAACAAAGTCAACCTTGTCTAAATGGGTTGAGTTGTATTTCCTCTTCGGAACACCTATCATCTGATCTTGCTTTTTTCTAAGATACGCGCAGTGTCTAACTGACGTCGTATCTAAAAATGGATGATAATCAGCGAAAGTAATAAAAACCTACCTATTCTATATTTCCAGGTTTACTTTTAAACCCATAAAGAACACTCCGAAAACCACCACTCCCCTTGTGTCTTGTCCAGTAAGATTTATATTCTCATTCTTCCATTTTACAAGGCCCCACCTGTCACTTTGCACCGACCACTTTTCACGTCTCCAGAACCCTCCGGTGGATCTAAAGATGAGAGTACAGTTAAGGTTTCAGCTAAGTTCCTGCCTACAGCTACAGTAACTCCACTTAGGTAAGTTATCTTCCATTTATAACTATTAGCAGGAAAGACAAGGACACGGTTAGGTCACCATCTCCCGACCTCGATGTTTCAGTTCACGATTCAGGTAAATAAACCATTGGCTGTTTATAGTTTTAGTAGATCTTCCTTCACCGTCATGGTTCGATGAAAATGACCAAGCAATAAGTGCTAGTTGTTCATATCCCCAAGGTGCATCATGTAATGTACAACAGAATGATCCATCCCCAGTTCACTTGGGTACGTTAATGGACTCGAAAAGCTGCACAACACCTTCTAGCATCTCAAAGTCTTTTATGTCTGACACTGGTGAAACTGTTCGTGTTCCAGAAGAAAAACCACCTCACTCAGATCACCACCGTGACTCTGTAGTTATACCCAAGTCTTTTTATGACGTAATTTGCAAAACTTGTGACTTGTTAGAAAATTTGTCAATGAATAAGCTCATGTATTGTTTCGGTGACGAGTTGTCTGTTATAACACGACTACTGCATGAAAGGTTTGCCAGTTGTTTTTTTACATAACGTTTTCAGGAACTCAAGTTCAGTGACTACTGATAATCACCATTCACCACCAGGAATATTAGGTGGACGAAGTGACGCCATCTCTTTGCCAGCATTACCTGGTGAACATCGCAAAATAAAAAAGGTTAGTGAAATTTTCGATGAGTTTTCGACAGGATGCTAAATTAACGTAAAACCGCACAAAATGCTTCAGCTTAGTTTGACACATCTCAAAACACTATGTTAATAACCATAAACCTTATGACACTGCCTGAAACAGATGTGGGTACCAAGTAAGAAATAGCTAGATGGGGAATAGAAACGTCCTTAGATTCTAGAATATGACAAGGATTGAATGCATATCCACCATATTGATAGGTTTGAGCTATGTCATAAACGGTTTTCAAACGATTCTTAACGTACTAACAAAACAACAAGACTATCTATACATTTCCACTAAGCTCGGGTCAAAATTCACCGAATTTATGGGTTGGAATTGTGTTTCAAAATCACTACACCTAACCATTTTGCAAAGATTTCTTTACCTAGTATTGTATGTTGACGTCTTCGCTGGGAAATATATGATGTATCAACGGCTAGATGACGTGTCGAGCACTGATTATCATGTCAGCGTATTCGTACTACCTGCTGAATCGTTTTCTTATTTACTTCCATCTTTAAGATAATTTCCCTATATTCAGGATCAGTGTTACGTCATTCCTGTTATGTATGTCCCATGTTGATTCACTAATCTGTTTTCTCCGTATGCAACTATATCACCTTTTAATACTTTTACACCGTACTGTCCTTTTACGTGATTCCATGCCACGCTATGGCCGAGTTTACAATAAAAGTGTGATGCATGGCTTGAAACATGAAAGACTTGTTGTGGGAACTGAGTTCATATAAACCTAGCACTGTCTATCATCCTAGATCTAAACAAATTTCTTAATTGATAATGTAACTTATTCCGATCTTTATGTGTGATCCATTCATTTGGGCTCAATTTTTTCTCTTGAATTAGGTCACTGCTGCTATAAGTGCACTATTTAAAGTTGTACAGTATGGTGGGATAGGGCAAAATTATTGAAAAGTATTACCTTTAGGTGAACTAATATGTTCATCACAAAACCTCTGCTTTTCGAACCAACACGACTCAGGGATTGTGCAACATCAATAGTAGATTTATGTTAGCTTTAGAATCCCACTCGCCTAATATTGTACTATGGTTTCATACCAAATAAATTCGTATGATACGAAGTGGTCGCAAATGATCTAGAAGTCTATGACCTTTGAGGCTTCATACTTATTTAGATAAGAAATGTAATAATTGCAGAATGTGAGAAAAGATAAACAGTGAGCTTGGATAACTTCATTGTGATGAGTTGTTTGTTTTATGTTATCAATCAATAGCTACTTTTCATGATACACTTTTACTGATGTCTTACCATTATGGTCACAACTTTAGAGGATGTCTTTTCAGTTGGTGCTGTGTGTGTTGGATATCAGAATCATTGTAGACGTTGTGTGACAACCAAAAATGGAAATGGTATTCGTGTTGATTTATGGCGATAAGAACTGATTTAATTTTAATAAATTATCATAAAATTTTATGTAATCTAAAGCATAAGACATCACTGCGAGCTTTTATATGCTTCTGTAAATCCCATTTTCGATGAAACGACTTTCCACGTTAATCATCATGGATAAAGTTTATACCTTGCTGTACGAGAGGTTATAATCGATTTTTATGTAGCTTTAGATTGATTGATTTTGATTCTGTACTCAGCCTGTTTGAACGTAGTCGTATTTGTTAAGTTTTCCATAAGAAACTCTACAGACCAGCTCAAGGTAATTTCAGAGTGAAGCCAGCGAAATGTCTTTGTAGTATTGCATGTGACTTGTATTTTAACTGTTTTTTCTGAAATGTTCTAACAGACTAACGTTACCCCACGTGTAACGGAACAAATTCTACCAGATGACGACAGTTGGCTTGACATCGAAACTGGGTCGACAAAATTGCACAGTGCTGTAGAAACTCCTGCAAAATGTTCTGTAGGTAAGAAGCCGAACATTACACCCAAAAAGACCTGTGATCGCGTCCCACAAAAGCCAGTTGCAACCGCAGATTCAGGTGAAGGGAACGTGTTTCTTCCTCTTAAAGCTGTTCAGTCTAAATGGGGTAGGTAACAATTTCTAGAAAGTCTATGATTTTTGGACTATTTTCTGGTATTTTTTATTTACTAACCGCCACTTCTTTTGGCATGAATTTGACTTATTGTTAGGATGTTAAACATTAGCGTAGAGCAGTTGGTGAGAAACTAATTGAAAAGGAATATATTTCCTAACTCAATTTATTTTCTGAAGTCAAAGTGACCACTTAGTATATCTTTTTCGCAATTTCTATTAATTATATCAAGTAAGTTGTGGAAAAATATTACATCACTTCGTTATACTAAAATATGGATTTAACTATTCGCTGACTTGCATGTACTGTTCCTGACCACCATGAGCATGTTTCACAGTTTTTTTCTGAGTTTTAAAAGTCAGAAACATCTCCACTGCACGATATCATTCAACATATGCTACTAAGTCTCTGTGGAGGAAGTTAAAACTTCACTGTGGTCACTTCAACAGATTTTACACCAAGGTTAACTGGCCATATGTTTCTTCCAAACTTGTCATTTATCATGAAGTTGCATACAAATAGTAGGCATAGTTCCCGTAACAGCCGTAAAATATACATCAGACTCTAGTTAACTTACCTTAATTACCCTGCATTTACATACCATTTCAGTCAGAGAAAAATATGATTAACTTCAGATGGAGCTCTGTTATGAACTTGCAGAAGAAATCTTTGTGGTTTTGGTAACAAGTCCAGTCTTCTGTATGTTGGGTTATTGGCTGTTCTTACGATGAAATTTTTGTGCTTTCGGAAATTCTGTGAAGTTTTGCAAATTTTTGGGGACCCAGTTTCCATCTTTTCTATTTTTTGTGAAGTTTCACTTACATTTCTACTTCGTAACAGTTATACTCCATGTGTGACTCAGATATTTTGTTTGCGATCCTATTTTTCGTATAGTTGGCATTATATTTCTGTTTTAATTCTCCGTAAATTAGATCTTCCAGCTTGCTGCAGTGATGAATACGATCAGCCGGATGATGGTTCCACGGGAGAGTTCGATGGGGATAATCGTTTTCCTCATTCACAGCGCATGATGGAAGCATTTTCAAAGATGTTTGGTTTGCGATCGTTTCGGCGAAATCAACTTCAAGCTATTAATGCAGCCCTCCTTGGCCGTGATTGTTTTGTGATTATGCCAACTGGTAAGCTGTCATTTTTTTGCTTACGGTTAGGTTCATTATTATTATTATTGCGTTTTACGTTGAATGTGAATTTCTTGTAACGCTATTATGACTGCTTATGTCATACACTCAACTTCTTGCCTTGTGTAATCTAAGAGGAAGTTACCGTGTTCTTTGGCTTAAGTGAGTTTAACCAATCTCATATCAGAAGTTGGCCCTCCTGCTTTCCGGGAAATGGAACAAATCTAGGGCTGATAATTACGGAAGGATTAGCTAATATACTCGTACGAAGACTAAATATAGGTATGTAGAAAAAACGTGGAACTCGTTGACTCTTGGTCTTCATGACTTGAGGTGTGGGAGTTGTCTAACTGATACCCTTGGGATGCTAAGAATCATTTGTTAGATAACCTTCCAATAGATTATTCTTTCTCACACACCTGTGTCCACTTTAGTTCTGAGGTTAGACTACTGCTAACCTGATTATATCAGAAATAGTCGATTGTAAAGTTTGTGGAGCAAAAACCTCCATTTAGGTGTTAAGAAGTGTAATTTTTTAAAATTTTCCAAATGCCGTCCCATATACTATATAAGTTATTCTATGTCCCTTAGTTCTGCTCTGTTTCAACCTAACTGGAATATGAAAGTAAGTTCACCTATATCCATCTCTAAATGGCTGTGTTTAAATGATATACGAGAAGAAACTTCTTTAATTTTCTTGATGGTTTTACATTTGGAAACGAGGCACACGACTGTGACTTGTGAATGAATGGTTTTCAGCAATTTAATTTTAATTGCAAATTGATAATATCTGTTACACTTTGTGGAGTCACTTGTTATTGTTGTTTCATAGATTATACCATGGCTAATGGCTTTCAACTACTGGGTTGTGGGTTCGATTGTTACTCTGCCTACTGAGGTTTGGAGAGCCAAGTGGCTCACTGAATCTAATGTAATAAATTGAGAGTCATAGCTACCAACTGTATAAGTTGTGATTATTAATCCTACAATGGTTTGTTGCTATCTTTTATTTGCAGGTGGTGGCAAAAGTCTGTGTTATCAACTGCCAGCTGTAGTTCAATCAGGATTGACATTAGTTATTTCTCCTTTAAAAGCATTGGTTTTGGATCAAGTTACAAAACTTCAATCCCTCGGGGTACGCATCGTTTGAAATTTCTGGCGTTTTGCTACCTTCAGTTGGTAAAATGTTTGAGTTAGATGAGGGGATGTTATTTAAATTCAGCTATCTGAAGCAGGTGTTTTATTTTCGAGACTATGAGCCTCACTTAATGTATAAGGGTTGATGATACTATCCAGCTACCCAGGCTGTGGTAAGTAAATTGGGATTTGAACCAGGAACTCACAGACTAAAGCCGTTATGTCTGAGTACAATCGCACTACACAATGTCCAGTTAACAAAAACTTCAGTTGTTTTGGAAACTTTGATTGATCTCCTTACTTAAAGGCTCTTCAGAGATCATATGCAGAATCTTCAAGTTACAAGACCAGCTTGTTCATCATCCGGCCACTAGGTTGAAATGAAATGACCCATGAATTCTAACTCCCTTTAAGGTCGTGGGTTTATGCCGATGATGAGTCGCAAACTATAGCGAAACATAGCTCTACTATTTTCAATGGTTCTGCCATGCTTCCTGTCAAACTGATGACCTGAATTTAATGATGATTACCCTCTAAGCGTTAGGTTGACTCGTAAACAGTACCGTTTATCTATTAAATGCTTGGAACTTTCAATTAGCATATTTTTCTTTTGAGTTCAGGATGATTATCGAGGAATTTATAAACTATCAGTGTTTAACAAACACGAATACTCATACTTTCATATTGTATGTGTAGTGAACATTAATTATAGCAATTAGTATAAATGTCTAACCAAATAAATGAATGCGTACACACAACTACAAATATACTAAATCAGTATATGTAAAGGATAACTGTCGATAAAACCTTTGGTAGAGTATGAAATTCTTTGACATCTAACTTTATGTGAAGTTTTTGAGCATTTATGAGCAAGACGTAGTCATTGTGATAGGAAATAGTTAGTAAAGAAGGATATTATGGTCACCAGACAATTACTTAATTCATGCATGCAGATGTAGACCAGAAACTTTGTTTAGTGTCTCAGTTATGTTCCGTCCACATATCAGGGTTGGCAACATAGTTCTTCTATCTGAGAATGACAATATAATTCACGTGTTCGGACTATCTCATGAAATTTCGGACCTGTTATCCGTTGGCTAAAACCAAAGTTCTTAATCCAGTTAATGCCTTACTTTCAGTTGTGTGTTTCGATTATGTCTTTGAATAAACTACATTAGCTTAGTTTAGTAAAATAGGTTCATATTTGATGACAATCCTTTTGTCAACTGAGGTGCAAAAAATCCTTTCCACCTATTGTGCAAGGATAGGAACATATATTCTTTGGCAAAGGTAATCTAGAATAAAGTGCTAGTTTCACTTTTCTTAACTTTTCGTTTTCATATTTTTGTCAACAATATCGTTTAAATTTAGAATACTTTTTTAATTTTCATTATTACTGTACACCAAAATACATAATATCCTTTATCTTTTTTTTAGGTAGGAGCTGGTCATTTAACCGGCGAAGCCACTCTTGCAGAAAGTGATCGAGTTTACGCCAGCCTGCATTCGGCCAGTCTGCGTTTAAAACTTCTATATGTAACACCAGAGAAAGTAAGCAATTTTCTCTTTTATTTGAAAATTAGAAAACCTCCACGAAGTTATTTAACTGTCGGTGGATCATACTTTCTATCCGAAGCATATGGATACAATCTGACTTTCCTACATCTTATGAAGTTATAGAATTAAAAGGTTGAATTCATATCCTATGTTGGGATTTTTGAGCTTAATTGAGTAGGTTTTAGTTCTTTAGGAGGTTGTTCAGCTTGTTCACTTAGACACATTTCTTCGCATAACACTTCCATTAGTCAAAATGGCTGTCAAAATGTCTCAGTCCACAGCATTATAATCAGTCTTATGAGTGTCGTTTGCATTGTGGAAGTTTTTGTAGTCGTTTTCTAATATTCTTTTGCAATAATAAGGTGAGCAACATGGAGGTTAGGCGTAGAGTTCTAGGTAAACAGGGGAAATCAATCGACGAAGTCGTGAAGCTACAAAGACTGAGATGGTTAGGACATGTGTTACGTATGCCAAGCCATCGCCTCCCTCGACAATGGGCAATGTTAGCGGATATAGGGTCAGGCTGGAAAAAAGCTAGCGGCGGTCAAACAAAAACTTGGCATCAGTCAATGAAATCCACAACAGTTGGTCTAAGCCACGTAGAAAGGTGTAGACTTCCAGGCTGGGGTCCTCGGGACGGTAAAAATCTATGGTCAGAAACAATTGGTGACATGGCTCAAAATCGTTCTCAGTGGCTAACGCAGATGCATCCACTCCTTGTGACTTATGATCTCCAATGAAACTGTTTTGTATTTGTTTATTACTCCTTTGTCTCACACCTCTGCTCACTGTTTCTATTATGCTCTTCTTGTACTTTCTTCTCTTGCTTCGCGTGCTACACGGAGTGTGGCGACTTGAACTTCCGCACATTTGTGCAAAGTTTTTTGTCGAAAACAGACAGACAGACATTCTTTTGCAATGGATTTTCTTTGTTTTGGACTGATGACGGGAGAAGGAAGTGAGAGAGTTACGCGTCTTTTGTGCTAAATATGTTTTTGTTCATGTATCATTATTCTATTACTTTACCGACTTGTTTTATATATTTGTTTCTCTGGCATTGCTGAGTATCGTAGCATTGTGAAATTATGTACTTTCCAGCTAGTTTCCTTTGTATAGTAGTGCCCATTACTACTTTTAACTGTATTATATAACTTACCTTTTGTAAATGGTACTTTCTCAATTCAACCGACTGTATGTGGTTCAAAATAACGGAATCGAGATTCATTTTAGTTTCGGATGATAAGGGAGCGCTTTTATCCTTAGCATTTATTGACAAACTTCGGTATGTATGACTCTGGAGCATCAGTATGCCTGCTGATTGAATGGGACATCTAATGTGAGTTTCAGCTAACACAAAATCACACACACTGAAGATTAGAAATTCAAACTGTTTGCTATCCAGCCGTCAATTCACACATACTTTAATCTCTTCTATCTCTAGCTTTACCATTATTTTATCATAGTAATTCCAGCTTTTATGGTAATTATATTGTAGTCACCATATTTTGATCTCTTTTCTCTTATCTTTTTTTCTTTAGATTGCCGCATCTGATAAACTGAAGGCATGTCTGGAACAGCTATATAAACGTAATCTGTTAGATCGTTTTGTGATTGATGAAGCACATTGTGTTAGCCAGGTAATACTTCTACTTTCAAGATATCTTCTATATAAGGCGTATATTGTTGAATCTACTTAGTTTTTTTATGCCCATGTATACACATTTTCATAGATGTTGTATAATGAACAGTAGTTGATATTTTGTAGTGATAGAGTTGTTCCATGTAGTATACAAAGCAGTTCATGGTCCTGAATAGTTCAGTCGGTAAGCTCTCTAGCTGTTCAGCGTTGGGTGGTATGGGCTCGAATCTCCTAGGGTATATTAGTCTCTTGAAGGTTACACCTTGCCAACGGGTGGCAGCAAGTCAGAAACCCACGTCCAGGGTTTTCTTCCAACTGAGTTCAGTCAACTAACATCCAGTTCAAAGTGCACTATGATTCCGAGTTACCTAACTCGATGGTCACATTTCAAACTTCACTGATAGGGTTCAGTCAGTTTCCCAATATTAGGGACTAGTCTCATGACACCATTTGCTCCGTGGTGTCCAATCTGTAAATCCATTATCATCTTACTGGAGACTGAGACTGAGACTGAATAGCTCCATAGTAAAGGGGTGTATATTAATCATGTGGACTATCTCCGCTGTTGGTTGACAAGTTGATCGTATACACTAATGAATATTATTAGGTTTCAATATAACGGAAACTCCCACTTCGATATTTAGAAGACTTGAGCACAGAATATTCTTTTCGATGACTTCTTTAGCTGGTTCTACAGTTATATGTATACATTCGTTAAGGATAACATTGGTGTTTTTTATTAATAGTGGGATGTTAAGACCAGCATAGGTCGATTTCGAAAGCATCTGCAAATGAAAATATTCATAAACAGGTCATGTTAAATTGAATACCGGATAAAATCAGGAAAATTATTGAAACAAGATAATGATAACTTGTAAAAGGCTTAAAGAGAAGGGGAAATTACGAGATAACTACTGTGCGGTAATGATGACCAAGGCAAGTAAAGCATCTGTACGAATTTCTTCTCAACACACGATTTAGGCTTCTTCAGGTGAATTCCAATGGCTACAGCGAGGTATATATATATATGACGAAAATTTAGATTAGTCGGAATATGGTAGATAACTTTGAAATCCTTGTCTCTGATGATCTAATGTTCAATTCTTTCTTCCCCGTCCATGCTTTCACAACGCATAGCTAAATTACAAATTGTAGTCTAGTCTAGTGGATATATGTTGGTATATATTTTGTTAAGTTTCTTATCATTTTTATACTTCAACAATTTTCACGCAACTCGTTTTCTTGTTTACTCCTAGTGGGGTCATGATTTTAGACCAGATTACAGAAATCTGAGTGTTTTACGCACAAATTTCCCAAATGTCCCAATGATGGCTATGACTGCTACGGCTACACCAAAAGTTCGCAGAGATATTCTCCTTCAACTGAAGATGACAAATACTAAATGGTTAGTGTAGTTTTTGATCCATGTCGCCTTTATTATTTTTATTTGTCATGATCTGATACATGCGTAGAGTGGAAAATGTAAGCGTTCTACTCTGGTTTATTTTGATAAATCTCCAATGCTGTCATTCGCAGATTTACTCTATAATAAAATGAAATTGTAATCAGATTCTCAAGTTATTGGTTAGTGTGAGTGGTATGCAACTACTCATGCCAAACAATCAGTAGTATGTAGCATCATGCTATCCAGAGCTCTAATTCCTCTCGTGTAGCTCTAACTCCTGGCTTAGAACGGTAGGTATTTAGATGAATACTGGTACTTCTATGAGGAAGTGGGAGGTTATTCATGCAAGATTTTAGATTAGAGAAGCGTCATCTTTTTAAACATTTTTTGCGATTATTGGTTTTCCCCATGTACACCGTCCTGGTTTACTCTAGTAGAGTAAATATCCTCCAACTTCACCATGTTTTAACAGTGTAGACCTACGTCTGTTACCTGTATACACGTCCATGGGAAAATCGAAATTATTTTTGATTACTATGATTGTGAATATCCCTAAATAACATTATCACTTTGAGATTTACTCACATTATTTGTGAAAAAATTAGTTTTCCAAAAGTAAGTTTCGTCACAAACTGAAATCATTTAGAAAATCTTCGTTGATTGAAATCAATCAATCTCATACGTATCCCAAATCAATAAATATAATTTTTCCCAATTATACCTTATTTCTCCGTTCCAAAAAGGTTTATCCAAAGTTTTAATCGTGCAAATTTAAGATTTGAAGTACGACCAAAAAAGCCTAAAAATTGTACAAAAGAGATTATTGATGTTATTCGCAATGAATTTCCTAAACGATCAGGAATTGTTTACTGTTTATCCCGCCGAGAGTGTGATCTGGTAGCTGATGAATTGGTTGGTGCTGGTTTTCAAGCGGCTGCTTATCATGCTGGAATGACGGATGCTCAAAGAAGAAAAGTTCAGCAAGCATGGATTCAAGAAGATAAATGTAAGGTTAGTTATGTGTGTAAGCTATTAAGTATAAAACTGGTATGTTTTATGGATTCTGTTGATAAAACAATGCACATTATAGTGCTCGTTGTCGCATTTCATAATACTTGTTTATTACTATGGCAAGCAGTCTGTTTGCGAATTGCTTATTTTCCACATGTTTTGTATTCACTACATTTAAAGTGCTTCCGGGTTAATGTGTAATCCAAATAATTTGATAGATTGCTGCAATAATATAGAAACTTTTCATGATCGCATGGGGTTCGGTTAAAGCCGACATGAATGATTGTTGGCTATGAACGGTGGTAATATCATTTATGATGTAAGCATTTATTGTTTTTCGGCAAGTATTTAGTCCTCCATCTCAGTAGTAAGCGGACTGTGGAAGTATTTTGTACACTGAGGCTTACTTTTATTCCCCTCGGCTTCCTAATGGAACTACAATCAGGAATATCGTCGGTGATACCAATGTAGATAACCTATATTATTTTGCGTAAATGAAATAACTAAAACAGCGTATAACAAAGACATTTTTCCTGATGTAATGGAGAGGATTTGTAGGTCACGATAAGGACTGTAACTTGCAATTAGTAGTGTTCTCTGAGCTGGTTGGTTTATTTGTGGAGCTTTCGTCGTCCTTTTGGACAACATTTCAGCGCAACTTTTTACTATAAAGTGAACTGATTTAAATTTCCCATGAGTGGTTGTATTTGGTCACTGATTTTTCATCACCACCATACTTGTTCATATCTTCGACACTAACTGTATTCAAAAGGTTGACAGATTTATTAGTTTCGTGTTTATTTAGACGCATTTCTTCCTTCTGTATATCAGCTTCGTCTAATTTTGACTGAGGGGAGAGATTTTTGACCTAAAGTTTCATAGGGTTATGCAAAGGCTTCGTTGTCGTATTTCACCAATGATCCATCTAATTCGTTTCGGGATAGTGGGTAGTTGGAGGTTGGTGATTGATCTTCTTCCTATGTAATTCATACATAGCATCCATTTTTTCGTATCTTTTGATTACACTCCCGTTTGAGTGTCATGCTTCAAGAATTTATATGTCCCCCTTTAGATTTACGCGTTGAAGGATAACAGTTTTATCACAGGCGATTTTGTAATTATGGTTGTCTACACCTGCATTAAGATGGGGGTATGAGGCACTTTGTCCTTTAATTACTAGTTAATCTTCTTAAGTGTTTCGGACATTCTGGAAACTAGACTGGTGAATGTAGTGTTGTTAGCTGCTGTCCTAACAGTTGTTTTTGTTGATTACATTCATCTTATCTTCCTTAGGCAATTAGTCTTTTAGAAAACATGCGCGATTTGTGTGTGAATTCTTTCGGTTTATACAGCGCTCTAATGACAAATCGACGAAGCGATCTATTTATAATCTCTGCTACGTCATCGACGTAGCGTGACCTGGTTTGTTTGTTGAGATAAAACTACTGTATTATAATTTTTTCGGCTGACGAACACTGATGAGTTTGCAAGTAAAATCGTTTTTTTTCTGAGCACTATGTGCAAGTTGCTTTCGTACCGCTTGTGCTCTTGAGAAGAATCTAATCTACTAAATGATTGCTGTGTAGGTATTTTTCCTGTACAATTTTTGGTTTCCTAGGTCATAATATCACGTCTGCTAATAGCACATTGACGGAAGGGGTTCTTTTTCTTTGTCTTCTTTTGCAAATTAAATTCCTACGAATGTCTGATGAATGATCCTTAATCTGTTTGACATTTTTAATTGGCTTTGAGCAACACAAAACTATCATTGGCATATTTAATCCAAAATAATTTAAACTTGATCAGAGACATGAAAGTCTATTTTAGTTTTTTGCATTACCGCTTCAGTAATCGATTATCATATCGGCGATACCATAGATGTATTTTTTATATTGTTTGTGAATGGATTACACCACTCTAGGTCTGTGTTAAAACACAGATCATTTAACTCTCTTGGGCTTGGAGTAGTGATTTCTTTGTCCTTTAAAGGAGTTTAGTCATTTTGAGAAGTATATTCACGGCCTTTTGATCTGGATCGCGGTTGATTGAAGTCAAAAATGACACAACGGCTGTGGAAGCCATTGTTTTGTCGTCCTCTGTCTTCGGATCTTTTATTTTGTTGAGAAATCCGGTCAATTGAATGTCTGCTTTCTCTTAGGTCATGATGCCGCATTGTGTCCCATGTAATCTATCTGTTAGTTACAGTGATATATCCGCTCTTGCGTATTTTGGTTAGATCGTAGGACGTTGATGAGATTGGAGACTTCTCCCGTGTTTTGCCTTTGTCGTATTTTCTTACATTCTTTTTCTTGACTTTTTGGTTGTCGTTTTCTTTTCTTGTCTTACCTAACTAATAGTATGATATGAACTAATATATTGTCTGTTCGATCGTAGTTTCCTGTTTTAAAATTCACTCGGTAGTTTATATTTTCACTTTTGAAAATCAATGAAAAACGGTGTAAAAGTAAATCTATTACTATAGCAATAATCCATGAATATGGATTTCTTCTTTTAAAATCGTCTTCTTCCTGTCAACTTTATTGTTTTAATGTTGACCTACCGAAATCAGGCTATTTACAGCCAGTTCGAACAAAAACCAATGAATATTTCAGTTTTTCTGTTCCTTTTCGGTCCGACCGGAACATATGGCTCTAAGCTAAATCTTTGAAGTCTCAGTAATCCAACTTTCATTCCTTACCGGGCTTACTACCGGCTGTTCGAGGTTTAGAAGTGCGTCGGCCCACTGTCGTACCCCAGATCATGCGCATCTCTGATGGTTGTCCTGCCACTGAAACTACCAACGAACCGAATTTTTTCAGTGATGTCTATTAAATATATGTTACCAAAAATTGTCAGTGATTCATTGTGAATGGAATAAATCGAAATTTTCTTTTGATTGATTATAGATTGTCTGTGCAACTATTGCTTTCGGTATGGGAATAGACAAACCGGATGTTCGATTCGTTATACATCATTCTATACCAAAGTCTATTGAGGGCTATTATCAAGAGGCTGGACGTTCAGGAAGAGATGGTCTACCTTCAACGTGTATTCTTTACTACCATTGGCATGATGTTGTAAGGCTACGCAAATTAATACAAGGTTTGTTCGACTCTACTTTTATCTCTTAAGATGTTTTATTGTGTTTCATTTTGAATAGCTATACTTTGAAAGTAGCCTTTATATTATCTGATAGAAGTTGAACAGTGGTGGCTGACAAAAGCCAAAGAGATGGAGAAAGCTTCGAGGATAGGCAACACCAGGCAACTCTTTAGACTCATCAGGGAAACGGGTGGGAGAAGACAAATCATCAGTGAGACAATCTCGGAAAAAAATGGCACTATAATTAGCTCCCAGGATAGACGACTGGATCGTTGGAAAGAGCATTATGAGGAGCAGTTTAATAGGCCCACAGCCACGCTCAACCTTCCGAGCATCCAACACCTCCCTGAATGGGATATAGACACAGGTCCTCCATCCCTAACTGAGGTTACTAAAGCTGTCACCAATCTGAAACTAGGCAAAGCAGCGGGACCTGATGGAATGACTCCAGAGGTATTTAAGTACGGTGGAGACAGCTTACTGTCTGCATTAACTGGGGTACTAGGCAGCGTCTGGGAATCAGAAGAAGTCCCATCGGGTTGGTGTAAGTCACTGATTATCCCCATATACAAGAAGGGAGACAAGTCTTCCTGTGATAATCACAGAGGGATTAGCTTGACTAATATAGTATCTAAAGTCTTAGGCTCAATAATCATGCGTAGACTAAGTGGTGCTCGGGAGGCACAAACACGAGAGAGCCAGGCAGGCTTTAGACCAGGAAGAGGGTGTATTGATCATATCTTCACCCTTCGACAGATTCTAGAACATAGGAATTCCTACCGGCGTCCAACAGTCATTATATTTCTTGACCTAAAGGCAGCATTCGACTCTGTCGATAGAGAAGTTCTCTGGAGATGCTTGGCTGTAAAGGGAATTCCGAGAAAATATATTGCACTGATTAAGGCACTCTACTCGTACTCATACAGCCAGGTGAGGGCTTATGGCGAGCTGTCATCTGAACTGATGACCAGTGGTGTCCGTCAAGGATGCCCATTATCTCCTTTTCTATTCAACTTCATCATAGATGTGTTAGTGGATTTAACCCTAGGTGACTTCAGCGACTCAGGGATTGACTTGCTACCGGGGAATAATCTCGTTGACTTGGAATATGCAGACGATATAGTCCTTCAAGGCGAAGACGCTGACGAAATGCAGAGTCTTCTAAACACCTTGAGCCGCAATCTACGAATATCTGGCATGTGATTCGCTCCCGCCAAATGCAAGATGATGATACATGACTGGACTACATCGACGCCTAGTTTAACAATAGGAAGTGAAGTGGTAGAGCACGTTGACCGCTTCACTTATTTGGGAAGTACCATCAGCCCCAACAGGCTGATCTCTGACGAAATCTCCGCACGGATACAGACGGCTAGCTTCGCATTTGTTAGTTTACGCCGACTCTGGCGTAGACGAGATGTTCGACTATCGACCAAAGGGCGGGTGTACTGCTCATCAGTCCGCTCCGTCCTCCTTTATGGTTGTGAGACCTGGCCACTGAGAGTGGAAGACATGAATAGACTAGCTGTCTTTGATCATAGGTGCCTGCGCTCTATTTCCCGTGTAAAGTGGCATAATAAGGTGAGCAACATGGAGGTTAGGCATCGGTCGAGTTCTAGGTAAACAGGGGAAATCAATCGACGAAGTCGTGAAGCTACAAAGACTGAGATGGTTAGGACATGTGTTACGTATGCCAAGCCATCGCCTCCCTCGACAATGGGCAATGTTAACGGATATAGGGTCAGGCTGGAAAAAAGCTAGCGGCGGTCAAACAAAAACTTGGCATCAGTCAATGAAATCCACAACAGTTGGTCTAAGCCACGTAGAAAGGTGTAGACTTCCAGGCTGGGGTCCTCGGGACGGTAAAAATCTATGGTCAGAAACAATTGGTGACATGGCTCAAAATCGTTCTCAGTGGCTAACGCAGATGCATCCACTCCTTGTGACTTATGATCTCCAATGAAACTGTTTTGTATTTGTTTATTACTCCTTTGTCTCACACCTCTGCTCACTGTTTCTATTATGCTTTTCTTGTACTTTCTTCTCTTGCTTCGCGTGCTACACGGAGTGTGGCGACTTGAACTTCCGCACATTTGTGCAAAGTTCTATGTCGAAAACAGACAGACAGTTGGCTTAAAAATAGTCAACAGAGAAAAAGTATCCGACAGATGCTTCATTCTGCTACAGTATTTATCATCTGTAACATGCCAACACCTAATCCCATGTCTGTCGCCTTACTGTTCATTCACTGTGTGTGAATTCAGTGACCATTGTTATTCAGGTCTTGCCAAGTTATGCATATATCGCAAGTGTCATCCAATTCTGTTGGCATCCATCTTCACACGTAACTTGCTTTACATCTTATAAATTTTTTCGTGTCTGCTGAGCTCTTATAGTCGATTGCTATCGCAACAAAGACTTATATTACACTTGGAAAGAATACGGAGAACATTTCAATGCTTAAAGTAACTGTATATTCACTCTCGACATTTCAATACAGGACATGTGGTATCTAACAGTATAGTAGTGAAGCTTTCTTACTGGTATAGGCACTTGGCTTTCAACCCATTGGGTCACGGTTTCTAATCGTGATGCACCCTACCCACGTTTAGACAGCCAGGTTTGTATCCGTAACCCTCATAGTAGGTATGCTTTATAGATAAAACTATAGAAATACCCGATATGTAGTCAGACATGTCATATATTTATGGTGAGATTGGGTCAAGGTCAGTCTAGATATTTTCTCTCACACTTAGATTCTTGACCAGGAATTGTCCTTTTATGATTATCTTCACTCACACAACACCATTGGCCGTGTACATATATATATATATATATATATTTCTTTGTATGCTTGCTTTCTTATACGGATGCTATTAAATATGCTTACCAACTCACGTCGTTGTGTGTTCTGGTTCAAGTAGAGAAGGCTGGGGAAGCCGGGTAGCTGCTGTGAAATGTCGGCGTATTCAAGCGGTAATCGTGGTCAGTGCGTCTAAGTCCAGCTTCGGCGTCCTTATCCTATTTCAGTCTGTGTTATTGCGCTAGCAGGTTGCTTGTTGAAAAGAACACCGCTGGTTATTAAGTAACATTTCATTTTGACCGGATTCTAAAAATGACAAATTTTCCATTATTTTGAGAAATGGTGAAATAATAACAATAGGTGCAAACTTAACACATAATCAATACACTTGATGATTTAGACACCGGATCAATTTTAATATCTCTCCAGGAAGCAGCCACAACATATGTGGAAGATAAGATAAGATAAGCTTTATTCCAAATCAGTACTTGTGATACAGAATGGAATTCTCAGCATTTTACTACAATATTGCATCCAGTTAGTACATTAACAATAAATATAGTTCTACATAGATTAAGGTTATCTCAGTCAGTTTTGACAACAACATATTAGCATGTCGGTAGCAAAGCCAAAATTTAAACAGAGTGTTTGAAGGTGTTAGAAAAGTAGATACTACTAGCATATTTACTGGCGTAAGCGATAGCAAAATGGTCGAGATATACAGAGTGTGAAAGAACGAACAAGAATGTTTTAAGTAGAGTTTGTAAGGAAGAGAGAAACAAAACAGCACATAACAAAAATAAATACAGAATGAAAAAAAAGGTAGAGAGAAAACGTTGTACCTGTAAATGATGTGAGTTGGAAAGACGAGATCCATTTGTTCTACTGACTATTTAATAAGTTAAAGGTTTCCCGCCTAATGCTTTCTTTATCGCACAGAACACGAGCTAGGTAGGGTATGGATGAGTTTTTGTACTTACTAGTGCGGGCATATAGTTTCCTATATAGGCTTCTGGTTTTCCCTGAAGAGATACATGGGGAGAGTTGTGAATGTAGAGGGTGTTGTGAGTCAGATAAAATGGATTTCGCCCATTTTTCACATGAGTCCATGTGCCTGTCCACCAGAATATTAACAAGCTGGCTAAGTGGCAAACTGCTTACCCTGCTGACAACCTTTAACATCCTACGTAATAAGGTATAGTCTTTCTTCAATAGCCCAGGAAAGACTAAGGGGGAACAATAGAGAATAATAGGCAGAATACGGAAGTTAACAAATTGTAGGAGTAAGGGTTGGGTTACACCAGAATGTCTTAACTTCTTGATGTAGAAGGTAAGACGGAATATTTTCTTGGAAATCGTCAAGATATGAGACGACCAGGAAAGATCAGAAGATAGAGTGACGCCTAGGTATTTAATTTCCGACTTGGTTTCTATTTCAGTGCCATCTATGTTGCACACCTCGTGAGTGCTAACCAGTTTGTTTAGGTCAGATTTGTGCCTAAAGGTGAAATTAACTGTTTGGCATTTGGAGGGGTTTAAGGTGAGACCGTTTTCCTTGGACCATTGGCTGATTTCTGATAAGAAGCCATTTAGTTTAGAGCAGTCACTTTGACATTTGACAGGTAAAGATACAGTTAGGTCATCAGCATATTTGACAAAGTTAATGTCATTTGAAGATGGTAGGTCATGTAGAAAGAAAGAAAAGAGAAGTGGGGAGAGTACAGCACCTTGGGGGACACCAGCTTCAGTGAGCACAGCAGAGGAGGATTCGCCTTTGTATACGGTGTACTGCATTCTGTTTGAAAAGTAGGAATGCAACCAGTTAGTGACCCAGGACTCGGTTTGTGTCATGGAGAGCTTATTTAGCAAGAGACATCTAGGTACAGAGTCGAAAGCAGAAGTGAAGTCAAGAAACGTGCAGCGGACATATTTGGCACCTTTGTCTAATGATGAGACAATACTGTTGTGTAAGACGGCTGCAGCGTCTAAAGTACTCCTACCCTGTCTGTAGGCAAATTGTTTGGGGTCTTCGAAGCTTTTAAGGGAGGGTTCGAGTTTAAGAAGTACTAGTTTTTCCATGAGCTTTAGAAACGGGGAAGTGATGGCAATGGGTCTGAACTTTACGTTCTTGCTATTTCCAGGTTTAGGGACAGGGACTATTTTAATGTCTTTCCATGGAACAGGTACAACGTTTTCGGAGAAAGAAGCATTTAGGATATTAGTTAGAGGAGAACATAAAGCATCTGCACATTGTTTTAGAACATATGCAGGTATGCCATCAGGGCCAAGACTATGTGAGGGCTTAAGAGTTTTAAGACATTTCAAAACATCGAGAGTATTAAAGTCCTGGAAGTTATCAGCTACAAGATTAGTAACGTTAGAAGTGGTTATAGTAGAAGGAGAGCGTATAAAAGACAGATTAAGAGCATTAACATCACAAGAGGGAAAAACATTACATCGCTTACTATTGCCAGTAATTTCATTGAAAAATTTCCACATGCTGATAGGAGATTTGCATGATAAAAGTGTTTGGTTATAGATAGCATTAAGATTTTTGATTTCAGATTTGATTTGAGCATTAATCTTTTTAAGTCCTAACTTGTCTTTGCATTTATATAACATTTCTTTTTGCCTGCGAAGTTGTTTGAGATGGGGAGACGAGAAGCGGTCGAGGCGTTTGAACAGTGTTTGTTTGGGACAGCATATGTCGAGGCAGAACTTAAGATAATCCATTATATTGGTGATTGAGTCATCTAATGTACTTTCATAGAATAGATCCCAGTTGGTATCTTTTAACATGCATCTTAGATTGAGAAGGTTGTCAGATGTGTAGCTTCTTTGTTGTGCTATCGTAGACAGGTGTGAGAAGATTTTAATATGTGTTTTGCTGTATATTTTTGGCAAAACGCGGACAATGCAGTGATCGGAGTTATGTATCGGTGAACGTCTACGTGTTTCATATACTCCTTCGTCATTAGTAAAAACTAAGTCGAGTGTTTTGTCAAGTCGAGTGGGAAATTTGACTATGTTTGTGTGACCAAGAGCTTCAAGAAAGGAGCAATCTGAGGTGTTGAAGTCTCCAGTAATAACGGATAGAGAGTTGTCGAAGTTGGCAGCAGCAAACATGGTGAATTCATCAGCAAAATTAGATAGATCAGATGGAGAGCAACTAGGAGAAATGTACATGTTTGTAATATAGATTTGTTTATATTTGGGGAGATGTTTGGGGCGACATTTGACAGTAATACAGTCAATGAAGTCATTTGAGAAGGTGAAGCAGACGTTATTTGAGACAGACCATTTGGAGTGAATAAAAGTTGCAACGCCACCACCATTTTTCTTATTACAACATTGACGGTCTTGACGAAATAAAATAAAGTCCTTTAGTGAGATAAGGTTGTCATCATACAGTTCATGCAACCACGTTTCTTGTAATGTGATTATGGCGGTGTTATGATACGTATCAGTTGACATCAAGGATTGTAGGTACATTATCTTGTTTGGCAGAGAGCGACAGTTTGTGTTCATTATGACGGGGACCGTAGTTAAGTGTATTGGTGTACGTTTGAGAGCTCTCTGCCAACCACTACGATGTTTCCTCCTTGGTTTCTTTGGAATATGAAAGTCATTTGGTCGTAAATGATTAATAAAGTTACGAGAGTAAATGATTCTGTTAGAATTCATATTTAGGTGATAAATATATGTTGGTAAACAGAAGACTGGATGCAAAATGTAGATATTATAGTAGCAGGCCCAAAAATTCGAACAGGCCGCCAAGGTCGGAGGAAACAGCTGTCTAGTTGAAAATTGTTATCTCATTTAATCTCTCTTCGTCGTTAGTATGTTTATTTTAATGATTAGATTTCTGGAAGCAATCATTAGGGCTTCCTGAACTCAGGTTTCATACTTGTTGACACTTGCATATCTACAATGTTGAAAGAGCTTATGTCCCTTCCGTAATTATGCAGACTTATGTGCAAAAGTGCCATTGTACAGCTTTTGTGGATGAAATCGCGGAATAGATACTTTTTCTTTAATTGCTTTGTAAATTGTTAAGTCAATCACTGAATTGGTATTTGTATACTATAAATATGTCCGTAGAGATTATTTGAATTTAGGAATTCGTGATTCGGAACATTTACTGACCCTATTCATTGCATTTTCTGTAAGTACTAATTATCAAAGGTTGCTGGAGATCCTTTCACTACACATCAGATATTGATTATATAGATGGATGGCTTCACTGTGTATCTATATCCTGATGTCAGTGGCGCTTATGATGCATTTTACGTTACTGACACTCGAGGTCGCAACATGTGATCTTGAATTACTGCAATATTTTGGTTAAGAAAATATTTGATAATAGTCAGGTGGAAACATATAGTCATGTGTCGCGATAAAAAGAAAACTGCGTATTTCTGTAATGATGATATCTCTAAGGTTTTTAGAATATGGCTCGCTCCGTATATCATATATGTATAATTCAATCATCTTATTTTGTTGCTTCGTTCTGTATTGACTAGATATTTTCATTACGATAATTACTGATGTGTTGCTTGAGATCTTATCTAGAATTGAAGTAAATCGTTTGAGTACTGAAAGTTGGCATATATCTTGAATTTCATTCCTTATACTTCAGGATATACTGTAGTATTGATTGAGAAGAATGGTGATCTTAATTTAATCCTGTACTAATTAAATTATGAGGGTGGACTAATACTTAGCTCCCTCTTACATTATTGTTTATCAACCAAGATTGTTCCTAGTAAAGCTGTTTCCAATTTAACGTTTATCCTAAAATATTGTGTAGTTGTTCATATTCTATGGTAGGTATTTTGCTTCCTTTTCAATGTAGGTGATGGACCTGGTTCAACGGCTAGAGAAACTCTTCGATTTCATGAAGATGCACTTTATCGTATGGTTTCTTACTGTGAAAATCAAATTGATTGTCGTCGGAAACAGATGTTATCACATTTTGGTGAAGCGTTTGATGCAGCTGATTGTGGAACTATAGTTGGATGTCTGTGTGATAATTGTCAGCTGTCCGATAGAAGACGTCTTGAACACAGAGATGTTACGGAAGATGCAATGAAGATTGTTCGTTCAGTTGAAGTTTTCTTACGATCACGACGTAATGTAACGCTGAATTATCTTGTGGATCTCTTTCGAGGTATATTTAGTTGTATTATCACATTATATTTTTGTCTTCATCTACTGTTTAAGTAGGAAGTTGTTTCCAAATGATGCTCTTCGTTCTATGATTTAATCTATCATGAGTTACTATAATCAACTCAAATAGGTGAATCGCATATCGTGAGCACATGTGTATTTCTGCTGCCGTTAGCTTGACGTAATAGTCATAATAAATCTTATAAGCTTTATTGGGTGAATCACTTGTTCCTAAAAGCCTAATCATACTGCAAACAGCGATTAGAGTCTGTTAAAACCAAAAACCTACCTGGCTCAGCCTATAGTTAAGTGGACTTCGATATTTCATGTGGCCATGTGTTCAAAGCCCTTGCCAGTTAATTCCTTTTCACTGAGTCCATACAACAAGAGAGGTTCTTACAGTGGTGAAACGGCGAATGCGAATTTCGGTTAGTCATCACCATACTGGATTCAGTTAGGGAAGTTGGAGAATCATGACTCGATAACTCTCGCAAATTTGGACACTAGGAACCAAAAGAATTAATGGTGTATGAACCCGTTTTTGTCATGGGTGGCCGTGCAAACGCGGCTAGTAATGCTGCTGTGCATCAGGCTTCAAATCGAGTGCTCAGAAGTGATCAGTTAAAATTAAAGCAATTTTTGTCTTCGAAATAGGTGTCCAGGCAACATCTCAGTTCTCATGCTAAATATGGAAAACTTAACTCACCTGTACGCTCCCGCGAACTACTTCATCTACCACATATTCAGTCTTTTAATATGTTATCACCACTTTTTTATTCGAATGTGCGTCGGTGGCACAGTGGTTAGAACTCTCGCCGATCATCCACAAGGTCCGGGGTTCGAGCCCACGCCGGCGCACACCTGATATCTATGGTCGGCCTGCAAAATTTGGGCTACCGATATCCATGCTGAAAATTCCATACTTGTACCAAAAATACAATGTGGAATCAAGCTGTAAATAAAAAAAAGTAGTCATCACATACGACTTACCACGAACCTTCGTATTCTTTTATTATGCCTTTTACCAAGTTATGACATTATTATTATGAAACCAAGGTTTAAGTTTTTCATAATAACTACTGCATCATTCTTCTCCACCATGTTTGTGTCGTCGGTGGACAGAGTGAACTGAATTGTTACTTTATATGTATTCGTTAAATTTATTTTTCAAACCAAGATAAATTACAGGATTTTGTATGATCCATGGGTCTGTTGTGACATCTAGTGTACTGTACAAACTTTTCACATAACAAGTATTTAAAATTATCGCTTGAAGACCTATTTTTTCTAAAGACCTTTGTGTATATTTATTGTCAGGAGCTAATACTAGTCAAATTCAACGAAGTGGTGATCAGACGAGTCAAATATATGGTCAAGGGTCGAGTTATTCGAAAACAGATGCTGAAAGACTTCTACATCGTCTTGTCTCTGAACGCGTATTGTATGAAGAGTTAGCGGTCACACAAATGGATCATGTTGTTGCGTACGTTCGTCTTGGGTTAAAAGCAACAGGACTTTTAAATGGTTCACTTAAAGTAAGCTATTAGTGTTTTTAAGTTTTATTTTCTTTCAAGCTTTATATTAATCCATAACTGTCATAAAACTGTAGGTTATGTTTATATCTAACACCCACGTTAAATGGCATAATAAGGTTAGCAATATTGAGGTTAGGAGTCGAGTGCTAGGTAGGTGGGAGGGTAAATCAAGCGACGGGTTTGTGAAGTTGCACCGATTGAGATGGTTAGAACATGTGTCACGCATGTCTAGCCATAGCCTTTCTCAACAACAGGCACTATTAGCTGACATAGGATTGTTTAGATTGGAAAAGAGCTAGTGGTGGTGGTCAAGCCAAAACATGGCTTCATCAGTCAATGAAATCCACAACAGTTAGTTTAAGCCATGTTGGGAGGTGTAGACTTTCTGACTAGTTGGTATTGTCAGAATGGTAAAAACCAATGGCTAGAGAGACAGTTGGTGGTGACGTGACTTAAAATCGTTCTCAATGGTGCAGATGCATTTACTCTTTGTGATTTGTCGTATCCAATAAAACTTCATTGTTCTTCCATACTACTATTCCTTTTCCTTCACACTCCTGTTTATTACCTCTCTTGTTTACCTCTACTCTATTCTATTGCTTTGTGTGCTACATGGATGGAGAGTGGCAACACGAGCTATTGCACGTCTGTACAAAGCTTTATGCTGTAACCAGTCAGTCAGTCCAGTTTTTTTGTCATTATACACTTATTTTCATTCGTGTGAATATTAGATTTAAAGTGTACCCTCTAAAAGCCACTGTGTAATTTCGATGCAGATTTTGCCATGAACCAATACCAGTTTGAAATCATTGAAAACCAGGGTGCATTGGACAGCTGTTTCGTCGTACTCTGAGACTCTTTGCGCACCCGTGACCTCATCAGATATCGAACCATTGACCTCCAGGTCAGGAAAACCCACAGTCTAAATACCAACCTCCAGCTCCTTGATGGCTGCTGAATGGATGACCTGAAACTGTACTGAGAAGTGGTAACCAATGGGTTTCACTATGTCAAGGGGATGCAGGTACTCATCGAAGGCATTAGTTGGCAGTAGCACTATATCACGAACTGAGAGGAGTTGGAATTCACCGAGCATAAAATTCCGACCTAAGTGGCCGAATAGCCAATGAGCTTGATCTCGTAACCTGAAGGTTCCGGGCTCGTTCCGTGGTGTGATCATGTATGCGTACTACTGAAAAATTCCAGGCTAGGAGAAAACAGCTGTACAATACTTCCTGGTTTTCAGTGATCTTTTACTGGTGTTGGTGCGTGACAAAATCTACAATCCTTACAAAAACTCATTATTCAGATATCACTATGGTAATGAAAAGTTTCAAAGCCACGATACATAAAGCCACACTTGTGAGAAAGAATACATTTTAGAAACTACAACATTATATACTATTCCTTACTTTATCTTCTAATATTTTGACAACGAGTAAGTAAGCTCATTCAGCATGTTGTCCTACCTGGAAATCCAAACAGTCTCCTGAATTCGATTTCAGTAATCCTAGTTGTTGAGTTTATTTCTATATTTATTTGTTTGCTGGATGACGTTTCTAAAACAGTTTGTTGTTTACAGTCATATCAATTGTAACGTTTACTTCAGAACCAAGTTTATATAGTTCTTATTATTCTTTCCTATTTGTCGTAAGGATAGTAGAATTTTTTAGGTTTTCACGACAGGTGTTGAATAGTTTCTGTTGCACGTCGTCTCAGCAGATGCAATGAATAAAGCCTCAGTTATCAATTTTCCCTTCTATCCTGTTAGATTACACTTTGAGAATTGCCTAATCTCAACCTACCGAATTGTTGTGTATAATCACAAGTAGTGCTGTATTAGAGTTTTCTTCTAGATTTTTGTAGACCAGTTCAGATATCACAGTTTTTGCGCCCTTATTGAACCTCCATCTACCCGGCCGATAACTGCTACCTTGTCGTGGTGGTCGGGCTTGAATACCGTGATGACCCAACATGCTAAACTGACTGGGACTCTGTCCCTGCAGATCCTACCATGTCAGGAAGGTTGTTTGGATAGCGGTTAAACTAAAAGCAGTTACTATGGGGTACATGGGCTCCAGCATGCAATCGGATCGAATGGTATATGGACCCATATGGGTCACTGGCAACTATGGGAATGCAGCTCCTGACGCTGCTCCACTGCCTTGCGGATTAGACTCGGGTGGTGGTCCCTTAAATAAAACCACCTGTCTCGGTCTTGGCGCCAGGGCAGTATCTCAGCCCTCACACAATGAACTGAATGAAGCAACAAACAATCAACGAAACTTATCGCGTGCCATTACACGTGTTGCAATTTCCTTCTTTCTTCCCTTCCCGATGATAGTTAACGAATACTGTTTGGACTTGTTGAGCATGACTGTTTTCCTTCCAGATGAAGTTCTTTATCCGTTCTCTACTTATATATATGTTCTCTTCTTTCCTTTTTTTCTTTTGATCTAAGTTGTTTTGTTATTATTGTGTGGCGCATCCTTATTGGTGCCATATTGTACCAAGTTTTTTATGCGTTTAAATAAATAAATAAATAAAATAAAAATGGCCTCTACTATTTTAATCGCACATTCTTTGCAAGGCATTATTTAAACTAAATGATTTTGTTTGATGGGCTCCCGAGGATCCTTTAACCGTTATTGGTGTGTTTCTAAGCTAGTTTGTGTGTTTGAATGCCATCTTTATTCCTGCATTGTTACGAATTCTACTTAAGGTCTCGGAGGTTACTTCCTTGTATGATATATATATATATATATATATATATATATATATATATATATATATATATATAATGACTTATAATTCTGTAAGATACGTATATACATACTACAGAGCTTTTAGTGTGTTTAATTGCAAAGTATTTACTCCTTGGAAAGGATCTAGTAATATAATAATTGATAATGCATCATTTGAAGCAACATTCCTCCATCTGACGCATGTCATAATACTCTGCAAAATTATTCTTCCGATTCCTCCAAAAAAAATCCATAGCAGTGCTTTGAAACTTGTTTGAAAATGTTCGTGAGTGTAAACTGTAGTTCGTGGATGTAATTGAATGATTAAAACGGTATGATGTATTTTGATGAATGGGAGAATTAGGTAGACCATTGGTTTCAACAGAATGACGTTTAATATATACGTGCGAGCTGGCATTTTTCGTAAATACTTCTTAACTTGCTAATTTTCAATAAACTTACTTATGTTAGAGAAATTCCTTAGATAGAATTCAGTTTTTCAAGGTATTGGTTTGTATTAAGGTTAAAATACGTATGTTTTGTAGTTTTCAAATATATGATAAGGTAGCCGTCTACTGCTTGTTCTGCTGAAATCAGTTTGATTGAACATTCACTTTAATCAAGAGAATAGTGGACATTTATGAGGTTAGTTGGTTTGTAAGCAAGTAAAACAGACACTTATCGATTTGATGATTCCCTTCATCAATATTCACATTTTGTTTTATAATGAAAACCTTTTATTTATTTATTTATTCTGATTATAGATTACTTTGCCAATTTCTGTTCTAACTCGACCTGGTCAAAGTGAAGCGAATGTAGTCGGTCGTCCACCGGAGGATCGTTATGCCAGTATTCGTAATCAATGCTATGAGGAGTTAGTTCAAGCTGCTAAACAACTTAGTAAGTATAGAATTGATACTAGTATGAATTCCCCCCCTCCCTTTCGCATTAATTTTACTAGACCGTCCTTCTCTATGGCTCTGAAACATGGCCAATACGCGTTGAAGACATGAAAAGGTTGACTGCTTTCGATCATAGATGTCTGCGATCCCTGTCTCACGTTAGGTGGTTTAATAAGGTAAGTAATGTTGACGTTAGGCGTAGAGTGTTGGGCAAAGAGGAAAAATCAATCGACGAGGCTATAAAGTTACATAGATTGAGATGGTTAGGTAACGTGCTGCGCATGCCTAACCACCGCCTCCCCCGACGGGCATTGCTAGCTGACATAGGTTCAGGTTGGAAAAGAGCCAGTGGTGGCCAAACAAAAACATGGCATCAATCCATGAAATCCTTGACAGTTAAACTGAGTCAGGTAGGGAGATGCAGACTCCCGAGTTGGGGTCCTCGAGACTCTAGGAATCAATGGCTGGAGACAATAGGTGACATGGCTCAAAATCGTTGTCAATGGCCAGCGCAGATGTATTCAGTCTCTGTAATCTTTCATATTCCTTTCTACCATTACCCATTCTGTTTCACTCTCATACTTGTCAAACTCTATTGATTCTCTCCACTCATCTTCTTGTCTACCTCTGTGTGCTATTTGGAACGTGGCAACTCGAACTGCTGGACTTCGGTGTCAAGTTCTATGTTGAATCCAGACAGACAGACAGACCGAAATACTTGGTTTCGCTTGACTTATCTAAACTACGAGTTTTGAGTTCGAGTCTCAATGAGAACACTATCATTTATCGTTGATGCAGACATATTTAGCTAATGGGTCCTGGATAGGACGAAATATGCAACCTATACTCCTCTGCTTGCCACCACCATTCAGTTAACATCATGTTTATGTTAAGGCATCGTCGAAGTGTTCGTCCTAGAGACCGCGTATTTCGGTCTAATATAGCTATTTTTTTCTAATGATGAGTTATACTGACATTAGGCGTAGACTGCTAGATAAGGAAGAGAAATCAGTCGATAAGGTTGTGAAGTTTTATCAATTGAGACAGCATAGACACGTGTAACACATGCCCGGCCACCGCCTTACTTGGTGAGTAATGTTAGCTGACACATAATTATGTTGGAAAGAGTTAGGGATGTTCAAATCAAAAGATGGTATCAACCCATGAAGTTTTGGATTACTGATTTGAACCATGCAGGGAGGTGTGGACTACCTGCCCGGATTTCTGAAGATACTAAGAATCCAATGGTTGAAGAATGTGTGCGTAACTGTTCGGGACCGTTCTTAACGGTGCAGACCCATTCACTTAATTACTGAGATCTTTTACTCCGCTAAAAATCGATATATATATATATATATATATATATATATATATATATATATATATATATATATATATATATATATATATAGCACATTGTTAAATAATGGTGCACCAACATTCATATTAGCGAATTACAGTATCACCTTCAGCTGGGTGGAGGGAAGTGCACGTAAAGTGAGAGCTAGAGATGCAGATTTTCGAGGAAAAAATAAGTTGGGAATAAGCGAATTGGAAGCTCCTTTTATTTATATGGATTTCTTCTTCATAGTTAGTAAGCATTTCTCTCAGTTTGTTCTCATCATGGAGACTAACAAAATTTCATGGATACCCGTTTCTATTTCCCTTATTTCATTGTCAAGAGTGTCTGTTATGCAGATTTTTGTGGCGCAAAACATTGAGGTACTGATAATATTTCATTTGTATGCAAGAGTAACAAACAACGTGAAATCGGTCTACTGGCCGACCTGTGATGTTTTCGGGAAATACCACGCTTAATACTTCCATCTTGCCTTCTTGTTGGAAGGACATCAAGAAATGATAAAGTATAGTCTTTTTCTGTTTCGCATGTGAATCCGATTTGTGGGTGAGCCATATTAAAACGTTGTGAGAAGGATCTCAGTATCGATTTTATTTTTATGCAGGATAAAAATATTGTTCATGTATCTACAGTGGAAATGGAGTTCGTTGACTACTTTTTTCAGTGGATGATTCCCTAATTTTGCTATGAACATATCGGCCAATAATGGGCGCAAAGGGGATCGCGTTGCTAAGCGGAGTATTTTCTTGAAAAAACATGAGTCGACCAATACAACCATTTCAAAGTCGTTTGTGCCTGTTGTATACAAATGTTATCTCATCAGTACCCCCAATGTTTCACGCTACAAAAATCTGCACAACAGACAATCTTCATTATGAAATAAGGAAAACAGAAATGTATTTTGTGAGAACGGATATCCAGAAAAATGGCTGACTTATGTAGATTTTTTAATTTAACAAGTGTATGTTCAATCCTTTTCAGTTACTGCTGAAAGGAGAAACTGGCTTTCAGACCATATGATGTATTAGACAAGGAAAAATTGTTCGAGACAAAATTATGATTGTGTATTCTCCAGAAACCGAAATTTCCATTGATTCATACATTCGGTTGATTGCAGAGAAAGCATACATGGACCTAATGTAGGTTCGTATCTCTCAACTTGAAGAAACATTTTGCATTGTTTCTCTCTGCCTTTTGAATGCTCAATGCTTCGATTTGTAGTTTTAAATTTTATGTCTATGTCGATTTGATTTTCAGCTTCAAGTCAAGGCATTTCAAATTATGCTACCGTTTTTCCAAATGAAATGTTACTTGAAATGTCGTCAAGTTTACCGACTACACGTGAAGAACTATTACAGATTCCTCAGTGTACTGAATACAAATTGAATTGTTTCAATGCTGAGTCAGCATTTTTAGAGATCACATTGAATTACCTATCAATACTCGGTGGTAAGTTGTGATTTTCAGGCGTTTTTGTTGTTTGTTTTTTTTTTGCCTCAATTCTTTTACACATGTTTCATTAACTAAAATTAATGTTGTAAAACTCCATCAAAGAATCCCTTTACTTGATAAAAGAACATACAGTGAGACGGCATTGTTGACTGATGACGTTTCAAGCTCAACTTATTGCTCATAATCATATCAAGGCGGTCAAATATTTTCCAAACTTTATGCAATTTTGTTATTATTATTATTATTAAAAAGATGGTTGCAGCGAAGAAAATTTTCCTTTTGACGAAGTCATCAACTAGACTGTACATTCGTGTATTTATATTAAATGTGTTAGAAAGTCCCTGAATTATTTCCAGTCAGACGTCAGGTTAGTAAAATTACTAAGTGTAATAAACAGAAGATAGGCAGTGGTACTATTCTAGAAATATTTCAGGTCAAAGGTCAAATTAAAAATTCCAATGCGTAATAATCAGGAAGATCGGGTAGTAAAGACAAAATGGGATTATAATGATTGGAAAACTCATCAATTTGTGTAATCACAGGTTAAGGACGTAGTATTAACGAAATGGGTAGGGGGTTCGGACGTATAAAGGTAAAAACAGTAATCAGATCTAATAATGCAGATAGGGATTTAAAAAGGTAAATACAACAAATAAACGGGAAGGTTGAACAAGAAAGGTAATAGGATAATCATTATTGATGAGACTGACTTCTCATGATGTCCACGGTAGGGAAAATGGTCGAACATATTTCTTTTGGATACATAGAGTAGGCTTGAGTTTTTGGATCGCCAGTGCTTCAACTATTGATACATGTCTTGATTTCACTTGCTTTGGTAGGTTGGATCGGATCTTGTATATGGCTTTGAAGGACTTTTCAAATAGGGCTGAATGTCCAGAATTCACCAGATTTTCTGTTATCGAATTGTATACCCCTTTGCTAACCATGCTGGTTAGCATGGTTCCCGAACTCATTTTACAAGCGGACGCATGGTGCGGCCAGTGTACTCAGCTTCACAAGAACAAGTGAACTTTTATATGCATATTGAAGTAGCCGAATTGGACAGCTTGTTTTTCACGTGCTGAGTGAGTAGTTTGTTGCAGGAGAATGTTATTCGTAGGCTAGAGGCGAACTATGTTTTACTGAGAGACTTCGAAAGTCGTCTACGGAGAATGTCTGCTTTGGTATCACTTTTAAATTCGAGGTTCAATATCAGCATCCTTTTGGGAGCAACTTGGACTTTTTCAGGTGTTTTCCTTGCTTTTAGATTTTTGTCTATGAATCGGGGTGGGAATCCATTTTCGATCAAAGTCCCTCTGGGATTTTGTAATTCTTCGTCGGCTGACTCTTTAGTGCAAATCTTCCGAACCCTCTAGAAAAGAGAGTGTATTAGGTTTCTCTTTCAGCTTAGAAGCACACAGCTTTGAAAATTGATAAACTATCCTTTCCATGTGGGCTTTTTGTAGATGAATCTTCTTAGCGAGTTGTCTGCATTCCTTCGTAGTTGAACATTGAAGAGATAAAACATTGAGTTAGACTTAATTTCCAGGGTGAATTTGGTGTTTGGGTGGGTGTTATTGATGATTTGAAGTAGGTTTTTTAGATCACAATACTCATCATGAATAATGAAAGTATCATCGATGTATCTCTTGTAGAGATGGAGGTCGTCAATAGTTGATGATAATGAGTTGTTTTCTAGGCCAGCCATAAAGTAAGTGGCCAGGAGGAGTCCTAGGGGAGAACCCATTGCTACTCATTCTGCTTGCTTGTATATTTCGTTGTTGAGACTGAAGTATACGTTGAAGGTGCATCGTAGTAACAGTTGTTTTAGGTAATGGACCAGTATACCGACATCGCAACGACAGATATCCTGTGTTCCTGGATTTTCAGGCCATATGTTTTAATTCAATTCACACTTGACAGCCTAGTCGTGTGAATTAAACATGACTAGCTTTTAATCGATAAATTGTTGTTTAAATTATAGTGTTCCAAGTATATCCGATATATTATACTTTAATTAGAATTTAAAAATTTTTACTTAAATATTTTTATTTTCCCCAATTTTTTGATCTACCTTTAAGCTTTGAAAGCTGAAGAGAAAGAGATAGAAGAATCTCACCTTCAAGAAACGCATACACCAGTGTCTCTTTCTAGTCGAGGAGGACGTGGGCGAAATACTTTTGTAAAACGTCGTGGAAAAGCGTACACTGCAAAAAAGGTAGGTTGATTCAGTTTCATTTAAGTCACTGTTACTTTATTTTGATTACATTTTACGCGTACAAATGGTAATGAATATTTCCCATGGTTTATTTTAGCATGATTATTATTCATCAAAACACAAACTTGGTTAAAAGTAACATTTGATAGGCTCGTTAATTTCGGTGGTAGGCTACTTCTCACGTGACGATGATGGGACTGTGGTTCATTGATCTATAAGCACTCGACTTCCAAACGAGTAGGTTACATATTCGTATCCGGCTCTATCTACCGAGGTTCGGGCAGCCAGGTGGTACTATTAGTCTTCACACAGTAGGTGAGGCTCATTCTCAACTGCTTGGATAGCAAGCGGTTAAAATTCGGAAGTTAGTAGTAGTAGTCCTGATTTGTATCGAATTAGAAGATTGTTGAAAAAAAATTCTCACCATCTCTAACTATGTGAATCAATTTCGAATGTGTTTGTCTAGGCAAATAAATTAGTCATACGGCTCATTGGTATTCAGCACTTTTCATCGGTTAGGGCATAGTCATACTAGGAAGTTAGGTCATTTGTCATTTACTGTTCCCTTGGTAATAAGTTGATGTCTGTATAGTTTTTAATGACATTAGAGACAGATTGATCGAAAAAAAATAATTCTAGAAACAAAGTGGGTAGTGCGGTGGAGTAAGAATTTCTTCTGAGTTAGTTTCCCTTGTTGCGTAGCACCTAGTGACACTGAATGCAGTTGGAATACAATTTATTGCCTATAATTTGGAAACCAGTCAGGCAGAAAATTCACTTTACTTTGTAAAACTAAACTAAAACTCGTTTTGTTTAGCTATGCAGTCTTTTCTTTTAAAAAGAGGGTGTGGTGACAGAAACATAAGCTGTCATGATGATAGTTGCTAATAATATTAAGGACACTGGTCATTCTGTCTCAACAAACTCCTCTTTTATAGTGATAAGCGAAGTAAAGAGCAACTTGTCAAAGACAATACACTTCTGCCTCCTTCGCATCGATGAAGCTGTAACCGTTCAGATAGAGGAACTAAAGGTTTACGTGGAAAAGTCGATCATTCAACAGCTTTTACTATCATGACGACTACGCTGAGTTTTCAAGTCTTTCTAACTCTTTTATTTCAATTGATCTTTTTAATCTACGGTTTAATATATCGCCTTTGAATGGTACATTTAAGTAAAGCTTTTTCTTACTTACTGTGTCTCGCTTGGTTTTATGTGTAGTTTCGTAGATATACTTCTTTACAAAGTTGGTAGGGTAGTCATTTTGTAGCAAGGCGTTTGTAAGATTTCTTATTTCGTCTTCAATACAATCCTCGGTACATATGCGTCTAATTCTATGACTAAAACAACGAATTAGGTTGCGCTTATATTGTATAGGTATGAAGCTATGGAAGTGGGTGTATTGTCTGTTCCACGTCGCTTTCCTATAGATGTTTCTTTTCAACCAAATCACTAAATAGTGCAATTCTGTCTCTTCTATTTCATTCGAAATCTTATGCAATATGTTTCCTCATTTCTCTGTGCATCCTAACTACAACTCAATTAATAGATTGTTTATCTCATTACGTTACTTTAACACTGTTATCCACCTTCTCTTATGTACTGATGTATTATGTATTAGCAACTATGATTATAACAACTCGCATACTTCTTTACTACCCTCTTTTGTGGAATAATTTAATGTAGATACGATTGTACAGCTATTGAAAATGAATTCTCTGAGAATAACTTCTTCGCTGAGTTACCTTTGTTCATTATTTCTTGGTTGGCGATTATTCATGAAATAGAGCGAAATTCACAGTGTCTGTATTAAAAAAAATATTCGTGGTGAGATTGAACCTCTGCAAAAATGAACTAGTGAAAACAACTAGAAAACAACGTTTTTTGTTCCATTGATCAGGATGTTTTCGATAATTTGGTATAAGGAAATTTGAAATCAGACAAGAGACCATCTCCACTCCCAGTGAAACAGTGTGGATCATGAGTCTTTGAATAAAAGACTTAAGCTGCTGACAAGTAAGATTGCTGTCAAAAAGAACTAACCTTCGATGAGTGGTATTGACTGACATAAAGCTTGAAGATGTCAGCTCATTACAGTGGTAAGACTACTAATAACTCAGTCTGCCTAGAATGTACACTACACGTAAATACTTGAAGAAAGTGAGGGAAATAAAAATAGTGGTTAAATGACAGGATTATGGTGATTACCAAATTAATTAAGAAACTGGATGGGTGTACAGAAGCCGAGTCTTTATGTATAAAAATAAATAGTAGTCAATCTGTATGCTCCTTCTTTGTCGTAATGTAACTCTTCACTGCTTCTCTCTCGATTTCACTTGTCTGATCGCCGCTTTTCATACTTATATTTTCGAAGGTAAAGTCTCCAGTTACTTTATGCTGTTCTGGATTAATTCCAATTTCAGCTGTTTATTACGGCATACCTTCTGTTCAAAAGTTAATAATAATTTCACGTATTCTGAACTCCATATTTAAGCAATTATTATTATTATTACTGTTGACATTGAGACCCTGTTGTATATCACCGTCTGATAGTCTATGTTGTGGTTGAGATAGTGCTGGATTTGTTTTCCTTATACTAATACTAAAACACACAACAATCAATAGACACTCGAGATAGACACAATTTACTAATCGGTAAAAGAGAAATCTCACACACAAAGGGTCAAAGTTCAAGTTAAGGAAAAAATCAGTTCCAATACAAGTAGCCTAGAGGGCTGGAAAACACACAAAAACAACCAGTTACAACGTTGAAGGTGACCAGGAGAGATGACCAATAAACTCACGGAGAAACCTAAAAGCTCACTTCAAATTGAAATATGCGCTGAACATGTTTCCGTCCTTCTCTATGCCTCTGAAACATGGCCAGTACGAGTTGAAGACATGAAAAGGTTGACTGTTTTTGATCATAGATGTCTACGATCTCTTTCTCACGTTAGGTGGTATAATAAGGTAAGTAATGTTGACGTTAGGCGTAGAGTGTTGGGCAAAGAGGGAAAATCAATCGACGAGGCTATGAAGTTACATAGATTGAGATGGCTAGGTCACGTGCTGCGCATGCCTAACCATCGCCTTCCCCGACGGGCATTATTACTAGCTGATATAGGTGCAGACTGGAAACGAGTAAGTGGTAGTCAAACAAAAACATGGCATCAATCCATGAAATCTTTGACAGTTAAACTGAGTCAGGTAGGGAGATACAGACTTCCGGGTTGGGGACCTCGGGACTCTAAGAATCAATGGCTGGAGACAATAGATGACATGGCTCAAAATCGTTGTCAATGGCCAGCGCAGATGTATTCAGTCTCTGTAATCTTTCATATTCCTTTCTACCATTACCCATTCTGTTTCACTCTTATACTTGTCAAACTCTATTAATTCTCTTCACTCATCATCTTGTCTACCTTTGTGTGCTATTTGGAACGTGGCAACTCGAACTGCTGGACTTCGGTGTCAAGTTCTATGTTGATTCCAGACAGACAGGGCAATGAAAGCTTCGCAAATAAACTATCGAGCTCAGAGAACACAACTACATCAAAAGCACACAACAATATATGGCTGATTACTTGACTACTGTTCCCACACTGGGAAGACATAAAAAGATATTGGGAAGCAAACAATTATCCCTCCAAGAAAAGGCTATATGATCAGCAATTACTGCTAATTAAATAGCCATTTAGTGTAATCAATAATTTAATATTTTAAGATATAAAAACTGTGTTTGGCTGTTTCGGATTTATCAATAAAATCGTAATAATCTAGGTTAAAGTCGAATGTCCAGTCTCCAGTTCATGTAAGAAACACTGACTTATAATATATGTGTGTCTTTTCTCCCTGTCTTAACACTTTATTACTTCTTAAAAAATCACACACCCTTTTCATATATGTAGTAATTATTTACTCTAATCGTGTTCAGCTGACAAGTGCTGTCGGTACTTGTGAATTCTATATAAATAGTAACTTCCTTCATATTTATTTCTATACATGTCTTTCAAAATATTTCAGACCACATCAACTACAGGTGAACGTAAACGAAAAGGCAGTTTTCTATTTGGAAAACAATTCAAGTCGAATTCCACTTTCTCAGGAGCATCCAACACAACTGGTTGGAAACGGTAAGTGTTAAGCGTTGATAGAACTGTTTACCTCTGGTTACATTTTTGTGGGTGCTGCAATGTACTTTAAAAATAATGGTTTCCTTGTGGAAAAAGAAAACTAGGGGGTATCACGAAATTTTGGGCACAGCGGGTGGATTTCGCCTTGTTTTTCGTCCCTTCAGCATTATATCTAATATGCTAATTTGGTCCGATTAGTTTTTGTGTAGTCGAACTACTAAGAGAATTCTTTAGTAATAGAATCAGTTTATTTGATTTTTGGGACTAGAACATGGCCTACTTGTTGAAGCACTATACATGAATACCACTAACCTTGGTGCCATGATGCATCTGTTTACAAACCTAACAAATTACCTACGCCAAAAACTTGTCTTTAAAATGATATTTTGTGCTGCTAATAACTAGCTGTTGAAGCCTTCCGATCAGAATTCAAATTGTCTGAATGTTGTTTGTTTTTAGATAGATATTTAGAGGTAGGCAGATATCTAATCAAATTTCATCCTTTTTTGCAGTGGTTTCTTACATTTTTTTTCTCTGTTTGAATATACATTCTAATATCATTCGCGTAAGTGTTTCCACATACTAGCTTGGACCACGTTAGTAGACGCCAAGTACTCTACCCCTTTTTCATTTTTTCGTTTCCCGAGGTGAACATATGACGGCTTGAAGCCTAAGCTTTAAAGTTGCGGTAGCGGTGGTCTTACGGGATGCGGTTGCCAACTCCACATCCAACTTTCTCTCTTTACTGGGCTTCCTGCAGGATAGGTGAAACTTAAAAGTGCTTCGACTGAGAATCAAACCCGAATCAGGTGCGTCATTAGCAAACATTTCGCCAGTGGACCACCAACTCACATTTTATTATTTATTACTGTTACTATCTCTGTAAACACATTACCTCCCCCTTCCTCTCGTTTGGAATACACTTCCCAGTATTTATGTGTGAGTCGTCTAGGGATTATCAGTTCAAGTCAGGGAGATTTTCAGGCTTCTAATTATTTCCTGTCCTATTCAACAGTTATAATATTTCAATAGCGATTTAAGTTGAAGCATTACGAAATTAGATTAAAAATTACATTTAATTTTCACTTCTAACAATCATATACTTCACTGTGCATTATTATCACTATTATTCTGTTTAGAAAACCTTCAGAATCTGCGACTTCCAGTTCGAACTCATTTCAACCAAAACTTATGAAACTTTCTGTTAAAGGAGATTAACTTTTTTATTTATTACTTCTTTTGTGAAAATGTTTAATTGTTTTTATGTAATTTTGATATAAATAAAAGAAATTTTATACAAAAAAGGCAAACCAACTTTATATGTGATGCCATCGGGATGATTTACATCGAATCGTCTTAATTAACTAACCATAACTTTGAGTTGCTAAGTAACTGAAGGGTGCCTTGAAAGCTTATATAGTGGTTGTGATGCATATAAAATGTAAGTTTGGTAGTCTAGTTACGTAGCGAAGTAAAATAATGGCTTAGCAAGGAAGATTACTTTTGTGACTTCGCATTGAACTGGTGCGATTAAATATTGTCTTTGAAATAGCACGTGAAATTACGGATAAGAGTCAATGGTTGATCTCACTCACTAACAAAATATGCTGGAATACATCTCACAGGAAGAAAGCGAAAAACTTTACAAATCAGTTAAACAGTTTTATATAACCTTAAATATACACCACGAGTAACTGTTAAGTATCGTTCCGATATTTTCCGACACACATTGAGCGATATTGGGCGTTATACCCTTCGAATGGTGAGCAAAGAGTTGAACGTCCAAGGGTGACATGGAGATCGTGTAAGAAGATGAAGGCTTGTGGGCAATGATTGAGCACATTGAAAAGGACTATGGAGAACAAGGTGAAATGGAGATGTGTTGCTGCAGTCCTGTCTTCCATTGCGAACCAAAAGGAATAATAAATAAAAGCTTTATAAGTATAAAGTATAAACAGAATAACAAGAAAGTGCTTGGGTTTCTTTTGAAGTCTATGTCATCTGACTTCAAAAAAAATGGTGGTCTATCTAAGCCTTCCTTCGTAACACTCTTCATCACCAAATTATTCTGCTACATTCCTCACACCATTTAGTTTATTATTTGAGTGCGTTTGATCGGGCAGTCCTTGTCTTACAAACAGACTGAAGTCAAATTTGGGTATTACTAGTGTTTTTTAAACTATTTTGATGCTTAATTCGGTTACTTTAAAAGTTGTTAATATAGTTCTACTTAGTTTCTAAGTTATTATGACAGGTATTGAGAGTCTGTCTTCAAATTTATTTTTCTTAAAACTGCGGTAACCACCGACGACAAAAAAACTTACATTTTACACTTGGTAGAATACCAATACAAAATAGCAACACGCAAACAATTCATTTGCAGACGATACCACCTTCAATTGCCTTATTTTTAAGTGTTAGTTTGTAGAGATTTCATTGTTTTGAAGTTCAACCACACGCTATCATCACTTAGGAAGTCACCGGAAACCAGGAAGTACTGGACGTCTGATTCGTCCCAGTTCGGGACTCTTCAGCTAAACGCACTCACGAACCCGATCGGAGGACAAGTCTTTCATGTTCCGGGTTATGAACGATAGTTATTGTGTGACGGCTGATGACACTACCCAGTTGACCAGGCTAAAGTAGGGGCAGGACTCAAACCTGTGACCCGCTGACTGAATGCCGAAAGCTTAGACCAGCGAGCCACCACTCTACTTACTGGTCATAGTCTACTCCTATACTGTTCCAAATATATGTATGAGCAACTATTTGACATTCATCAAATTCACTGTTCACTTCAGCATTTTTCACACATTTCTGATGGTAACTGAATCACAAGTATTTTCCTTTTTACCCATTATAATACTTTGCATCAGTACTAAACAAAAAGAATAAGGTAAATATCATTTGTATTTCACAGTAACGAGTCGAAAAGTATTTCACTAAAGCGCTTTTAGACAACTGGGAGACAAAAAAACGTCAAAGAACAGAAGGTATGTAACTAAAAAAAACAAAACAATAAATCTCTCAAAGTAAAATTTCATCTACTTTAAAATTCCACACATCTGTTTGAACTGTTATCATGAGAATACACAGTCAATTTTGTAGCATAAATTTAATAAATATGCATAATCAAAATGCCAGTTAACCATCCTAGCTGCTGTTTCTGCTGCCTGTAAAACATGAAAGTTTGATGTCATAACCATAAATGTGCTGGAAAAAATATATAATAATAGTAATGTATCCCTTTCAATTGCTTGTCTCTATAACGATGCTAGTTCCGGTGGGAGTTCAAGTTGTGCTAAATCACGGAAATGTAACAGCATTGCCATCATTTTTGTTAAGCGTGGTACAGTGGATGAAACACCAGAATAACTCATGGAATTTGTAGATACACAGCCTTTTCCTTCCTCCGGTGTGTCAATTTCATCTCCTGATGATTCAATATGTCGTAGAATAGCTCGATTTAACGCTCCTGCAACCACTTCAGCGTGTTGAGGACTTAATAACTTGCCGTAGATACTTTCAGCTGGATTATCAAAAGCTAAAAGTGCCATTGTATTTTGCATTTCATTCAACAACTGTGGATGTTCTGATAAACGTTTAGCAACTGGATCTGCTAAATACGACTGAGCGAATATAAGTGCATCTTCCAAACGTTTGTTACGTATAAGTTCTAACATCTGCAGTTGGCGGAGCTAGTCAGAAAATATTAAGTAGTATATTACTAAAGATTAATTAATTAATGAGATTATTAATATTATTATTAAATTAATGAGAAAATCTCATTATTTTATGACAGTAACGATAAGTAATTTAAAATAATGAATAAATACATGCACTAAACTAGTGATTATGCAATAGACATGTATGAAATAATAATGGTGCTTACATTGTCACTAACTCGAACCTATCGTACCTTAATGCCAGTGCCAATCTATTTGATTTCAGACTTCTATGGGCGTCGATAATTTTCTGAGTGATTAATGAAATCAATGAATACCCGAATTGTCTGTAAAAGAAAGACGGTTAATTACTTCTGGTTGTCCCGGCCGATAGCTTCCACGTTGACGTGGTGTTTGGGCCTGTATATCGCAATGAGCCAACGAGCTACATTGGCTGCGTCGAATGTGCCTGCAGGTCTTACCATACCAGTGTCGTTTAGATAGCCGTTAGACAAAAAGTTGTTTACACTACGTTTAGGGTCCATGGGCAAATTCGTTTTCCTAGCTAATAGGGGTGTAACAGTAGTAAGGAGTTTCTCCTAGATGACCAACAAGCCAACTACACTGCCTCCTACACCCTTGAGATAGGGGGTTGGAAAACGTCGATCCCGGAAATAGTACATTCTGACTTGCTTTGAGGCAGTCCGTAGCCGGCGTTACCATTTTCTTACAGACGGAACCCCTGAAACCACTTCAAGTAGGTTGTGTTTAATCGGTCCCAAGCAGTTGTCCTCAGGACCTTGTGGTCGCGCAACAGGAATGCTCTTTCTGTTTCAGGTACCCCAGGGAGAACCGGAAAGTAAAAAGCGTCCATTCTTCCACAAGCACATAAGGCCTTCCTAACCACCACTCACCCACGAATTTTGTTTACTGTGATAAATAATATATATGACTTAGAAATCTGCTTCTTACCAGAACTCACTTTTTTCACAGTTGTCACCTAGAGAGGTCCCACTGCTATATAACAATAATGATCTTAATAAACTGTATGGTCTACTACAAACGTACATGAATAGTCACAGACTTAAAGAAATCAGACGTCGAATGCTCTACAGAAAATGGTTCTTCCAAATTAAACTAATTCACAACAGAAATAATCTTCAAAGCAGTTGAATTCACGGAAACCAACAAACTACATTTGAACTGTTCACTGCTGACTAACGCCAAGTTCGCCTTGGGAACTGTGATGAGGTGAGACAGTAACTGGCCAGTGATTGCGCAGCGTTGCTAATTGGGAGCGCCTAGTAATTACAGACTATTACAATCCTTAACCAACTGATGAGTGATAACGTGTATACCTTGCAACCTAAGAATCCTGTGAATCTTATCTCATGACTCTTAGGTGCGCACTGACGATGATGAACGCCCTAATAAAGATAACTTTCCCGATTTATAGTGGCATTTGTTCATGGCCTCTATTCTTCCCGAAATCAGATTTTATGGAAAAATCTTTTTATTCCTAGTTTAAATAAGAGTTGTGAGATAACTTGGAAATAATTTGTTAAAATCTAAACAAAAGTTATGGACAGAGTCGTAGACTTCTCACGTAAATCGTGTATGCAAACATAGACGGAGAGCCAGTAATCTAAATGCTACTACTGAAAGCTGAAACAATTTGCAGTTGAGTACGTGCAAACCAACGTCGACATCATTTTTTTATCAGTACACCATAATTCTACGGTACTATTTATTGCTATATTAAAAACCAAACTGTAATACGATTGTGTTCGCTACTGTTTCACTCAGGCTGTTACAACACTCGAACATTTCAATAAGTATCTCTATCTGGCATAACTTTTAGAGTGGAATGCTTATCAGTTTTTCAGAAAGAAGAGAACACGAAGTTCAGCAAAGATATCTTTTCGGCGATTTCATTCTCAAAAGCTGTACAATCGCATTTATATAGATTATTTTACATGGATACAATTATTATTTGTTTAATTTCACATAGTAACGAAGGTGATAATAATTTTCAACTTGATATGATAGTTTGAAGGTACGAATATAGATTACAAGGGGCTTAGAGACAAGATTTCATAGGATTAGAAAATAGTTACAACGTATGCAAAAAAAAATTAATATTTGATAACTGGAGAAACAATTTTAAGTCAAATAGAAGGTGATAATTGTTTTCGACTTGATATGAATTACAAGAGGCTTGGAAACGCAGGGATAGAACGAACTACAGATGTGAACAAAATGAGCATGGAAACAAATTGAAATCTATATTCGTACCTTCAAACTATCATATCAAGTTGAAAATTATCATCACCTTCGTTACTATCTGAAATTATACAAATAATAACTGTATCCATGTAAAATAATCTATATAAATGCGATTGTACAGCTTTTGAGAATGAAATCGCCGAAAAGATATCTTTGCTGAACTTCGTGTTCTCTTCTTTCTAATGTCCATACCAGTTTTTTGTTGAATTGTTTATTTTGGAAAACGGGTGAAATGTCCTACCTGGAAATAAATAAAAGGATTTTTGTCGAAAAGCTCAGGCCATAATCGATTTACTGCATCGATAACATCTTCAATTTTTCTTAATAAGACTGCTTCACGGATCCACATACGATCATCCAAGCTTGCACCTGCAACTTGTAATTCATTGAAAGGTTCTACGATTCCTGTCTCACGACTAAATTTCTCAGCAACATCTTTGTAACCTTCTACTACAAGATATTCTAGAATGAGTCGATTGATTTCTTGTCTGGTTAAACATAATCCATCTTGTCCGTCGATTGGGGTAAGTGTATGAAGAGGGACATCAAGTGATGTGTTATTCGATGGTGCATCAGAACAAACTGCACTGACAGGTGCTAATTCAGTTTGCCCAGAAGTCGCTTCACTGTGTGAAATGGACATGGATCTTTAATCTTAAAAATAGGAAACAATGTGAAAACGATTAATGAAACAATTATTAATATTAATGTGAACTCAGTCCGTTTATCTGGTGGTATATCTTTAAGCCGACAATAACAACAAAGAAGTTACTAGTTGATAGTTACCGCCCAAAATGGTACAAATCAAGTAGACGATTCTGTCTGTCTGTTTTCGACATAGAACTTTGCACAAATGTGCGGAAGTTCAAGTCGCCACACTCCATGTAGCACACAAAGCAAGAGAAGAAAGTACAAGAAATGTATAACAGAGACAGTAAGCGGAGGTGTGAGACAAAGGAAGAGTAATAACGAAGAACAAAACAGTTTCATTGGAAATCATAAGTCACAAGGAGTGGATGCATCTGCGTTAGCCACTGAGAACGATTTTGAGCCATGTCACCAATTGTTTCCAACCATTGGTTTTTACCGTCCCGGGACCCCAACCAGTCAGGATGTCTACACCTTCCTAACTGTTGTAGATTTCGTTGACTGGTGCCATGTTTTTGTTTGACCTCCACTAGCTTTTTTTCCAGTAGACGATTAAATTAAAAGTAGACGATTAAATAAAGAGGAGTAACAACCAGATGTTCTAAGATGTTTAAGACCAAAGAAGGCTGTATTAAGTGTACGAAACAATCCGGAAATACAGTTACGATAGAAAATAAAGTATCAGTCCATCTGAGCTGATTAAAGTCTCCAGGTCTATGTTTTCATAGTTACGTCTACTTACTTGTATTTCCTACACAGCTGAGGCTCCATCGATTACTATCCCACACTGGTCTGACTACCCTTCCCTACCTTTTCTTAGAATACAACATATCAAGGACGGTAGGTAAGCACGTGAAACATAAAAACTAGCACCGTCGCATCTAACGAAGTGGAAGTCCAGAAAGAATAAGAGATATCCAAACGCCATATGGTATGGGGTTCAGACAGCTTTTTCTCCAGACATCTTTCAAAGATGATAGCAAGACTTTAATTAGAGAGGTGTGAAGTCGAGTGTCCCATTAACATGAGAAGAGATCATCACTACAATCATCTTTGAAAACAGCCTACATAGTGCATTTGCATATTAGTCTGTCAGTAGTTGCAGCAAAAATGCCGGCTGCTATCGCACTCCACAGACTTTTTTAGATTCATTGATTCGTTGAAGAAGATTTACCACACAAGTGTCCACTGTTTCTCAGTTCTAAAACACCACATGTATTACAGACTAATGATCTTTGATGTGGTTGTATTCTCTGAGCCGGATGGTTTATTTGCAAAGCTTTAATTCCCTTACTAGGTAACATACCCAGCGCATACTTCAATTTTAAGTGAGCTTTTGAATTTCTCCACGAGTTGATTAGTCGCAAGTAAACCATCTAGCTCAGAGAACGACTACATCAAAGTCATCCATCTGAGATACGAATCTCCATTATTACAGATGACCTTTGTTCTGCTCTCGATTCATCAGAAGTCTGTTAGAGAGACGTACTCCTAGGAAGTTTACTAACTCTTCGGGAAGTGAGGGCATACAGCCATCTAACACCATTGTTCTCAACCAGCAGCGAAATAAAACAGGATTGCTCCATCCTACCGATTCTCTCTAACTTTGCCATTAATGACTCCCCGAAGACATTTGTAAGGGTTGTAGATGGTTATCTTGCAAATATGTTGTCTGGAGACTTCGCATACTTCAGTATGCAAACAACAATAGCATACTGCTGTTATAACTCGTGGGCCATCTAATTCACACTTATTCAGTATGCGACTATCTACAAGCATGTCTCACTCTATTCAAGAGAAAGACAGTCGCACGGCTGAAAAATATCTGTACCCCCACTTGCCCTTGGAGGCGAACTATTAAAGGCACTTTAGTAGTTCACGTATCTGGGTAGTTGTGAGTCCTGGTGGTATGCCATATAAATCCACAGTTCTAGAAGGCATACACCAACCACGACCCCCACAACGTCTGTCAAAGGTTGGGTTTACAAGGTTTCAGTGCATCCTGTCATGTTTCTAAACTTGTGAAACCTCTGCCTCGCGAGAGGAAGATGTGTGATGAATCTTGAATCACAGGGTATCAGAGAACATATAAGTACTACTTCCTACGGTATGTTTACATACTGTGAACGTCATCTAATTACTAAGTGACCTCATCTGGAGACACTGGTTTTTACTGCCTGTGACGCGTGTTACGAATATTGTTGAAAAGTTCTCTGTTTCTTAGCCATAGGATCAGACTGAAAAGCGCAGAGGATCAGTCCATGCGATGAAGGATAATTCTTTTATGGATAAAATTTTATCTTAATAAAATCACGCAGTATGATAGAGAAGATTTGTAGCTCAGGTGGATGATTTTGATGTGGTTTTGTTCTCTGAGCTTCGCAAATTAACCATCCAGCTCAGAGAACAAAACCCCATCAAAATCACGCAGTGTTCTACAGTAATATTTACTGATGGCGTTTCGAGCACAATTTATTGCTCATAATCATATCAAGGTACTCACATAACTTTCTCGCTACATTTATATACATGAGTACAATTGGTTAGATATTTGAATAAAATCAATTTAAGACTTGCAAGAAACAGAAAGGAAGATAAAGCACATTCGGAAACACAATTCGTTATCGATAAATATAATATGGTGAGAATTAAGAAGCGCGTTGTTAGTCAATCTACTATGGAGGATAAAGTACATTCGGAAATAATATTGGTGTTATCAATAAAATACAATGAGAAGGGAAATTAAATTTTTATATAGTAAAATTAATAACTTGTTAAAATGTTATAATATGAATCGAAATACATTCTAACATTATTTATTGTTTCAGGATTTCATCATGAGCTGACATTAGTTAGAGAACCTTTGGAAAACCTGGGAGTACTGGACAACTGTTCCGTCCTAGTTTGGGACTCTTCATCAGTACGCACCCACCGGGATTCGAACCCGGGACCTTCCGGTTACAAGGCGACCTCGTATACCATCAAGCCACTGGGACCCGATCCGATGGTCCTTGAATTCTAACTTCTGCCAATTCACGACATAGCGCGACCGCTAGCCAATGCCTCCGGTGAGTATTTGTCCTCACACCCGACCCCTTGAAACCTACTGGTCACGACTTCCCACTGGAACCCAGGTAACTACCTACCTGAATAGGGCCAGTCGCCAGTGAGCATCTCATTGGTATTCAAGTGTTGGTTTGTAGGGATTTGATTGGTTTCAGGATTTCATCATGAGCTGTCCAGTACTCCCAGGTTTTCCAATGGTTCTCTAACTAATGTCAGCTCATGATGTAATCCTGAAACCAAACAAATCCCTACAACCCAACAATTCAATTATTTATTTTCCTCTGATTTGACTGGTAATAATATTTTTCAATATCCGTGGTATTTGCGGTTGAGTCAATTCTATTGCATGTGTTGTATGTAGACTCGATGAACCAGGATTCAGTAATCAATCTTTCTTTCCACATACCTATACCTTTTAGAGTTTTGACTCTGTCCCACCATATTGTGTGGTTGTGTGTTAATGCATGCAGTGCAATTTCTGAGTTTTTTTTCTAAATTACTTATCTTAGTGGGGTTAATCATTCTTACCTTAGCTAAATTCTTATGTTCTGATAATCTGACTACTCCGGATCCACTAGTTTGACCTCACAGTCATTGCAATGTATTTTGTAAATTATATTATTTTGTTTAATTGGATCCACCGGGTCTTTTAGCCTAGAGATCTTGTCTCTGAGTGAGTTTGTAGCTTTGAGTGCCACTCTAATTTCTGCTTTATTGAGAATCCTACGTAGGGTCTGAGATGTGCCCTCCTTATATGGTAAAACTGTAGATGCCTTGTATTCTTTCTTACTTATGTTATCACTATTAGTCTCATCATCATTTTTTACCTTGCTTGTGACCTTTCCTGATCTTCCTAATGCATTTTACCGGATAGTTATTTGACAATAACGCTTCTTCTATCTGTTTCATTTCACCGCTTACGTTTTTTGTTGTACTACTTAGTGCTATTGCTCGGTTTGTTAGACACTTAACTAAGCCAGCTTACACAAACAACGGATGACATGAATTAGTCTAAATATCTATTAGAATGTGTTGGCTTTTTATAAATGCTAGTGTGCAGTTTACGTTCTTCTGTTCGTTTTATCTTACAATCTAACATAGCTAATTCTCCTTGTTCATTTTCCGATTCAAATGTGAATTTTATTCCCTCTATAGTGAGTTTATATGTGTCAAGAAGCTAGAGATATGTTCTGTTTTTAACACTGTGAAAGTGTCATCCACATATCTCCACCATATTTTTGGAGTAGGATTAAATGTATTAAGAGCACTATTTTCCCAGCTGTCCATAAAGATATCTGCTACGATAAGGGATATTGGTGATCCCATTGCTACACCTTCTGTTTGTCTATATATTTTACCCTAGAATTTAAAGATAGTAGACGTGAGACATAACTGAATTCCTAAAATAATTTTCTCAACAGGCAGCTTCGTCCTCAGAGTAAGTTCGGGATCAGAAGTTCGTTCTCCCTTAACTACCTCTAAAACCGTATTGATTGGTATATTAGTGTGAATACTAGTTATATAAAAACTATCCATTTTATTTCATTATTCTCCAATCAAATGTTATTTAGTTTCCTTTTCATTTCATGTGAATTAGTTAGCCTAGAGTTTGAATGATTTCTAATGGGACATAGTATTGATGTTAGGTGTTTTGATAATTGATAAATACGGGTATTTTTGAAATCTACTATTGGTCGTGTGGGACAACCTGGTTTGTATATTTTTAGGTCAGCTATATATAATATTGCCGAAAAGAGTAACTCTTCGCTGAACATCTTTTCTTGTATAATCATTTAATTTGTCCTTAATACATTCAAACGGAAGATACATTCGACCGAACAGCAAATAATGACTGCTGGTTACGTGAATTAGAATTTCGTAGCTAGTATGTATAGCAGAAATGAAGGTTCTTCTGATGTTGTGCTCCCTGGTACACAGTTTAATTGAGAAACTTCTATTATCTTTCCAGACACCATACTCAGTGACAGCTTTACATTCAGATATATATCAAATGCATGCGGAATCGTGTAGTTAGCATCTGGACTAGTGCTTATCCTTCCCCCAACATTCCGATATTTCTCGAGTCAAACTGTTGTTTATTGTGAAAATAACGATTAATACCAGTGGGAATAAATGAAATGAAATCGGGATCTTTGGAAATAACTAATCCTAGACAGAGTTTTCTGCAGTGTCAGTTATTTCAGGGAATTTCGAAAACTAACTTTGTTTTGAAATTAACACCAAAGTTGTCTAAATGAACAATAATCAATCCCCCCCCCCCCAATTCAGAAAACACAACAATAACAAGAAACTCACCTGAACGTAGGAGAGGAAACTGGTGTTCTTACGTCGTGTAGCAACTTCAGCTTTTGCGTTAATCTATTTAAAAGCCTTTTTGGTTCATTTTTTTCCTTCACAATCCCAGTGAAACATGGGCTTCAACCTAGAGGCTTGGAGTTTCTGTAGCAGTGTTTAATTTTTACAGGATGGGGTTGCTGGCCACCTCGTGCCCAACCTTTCCTCTTTACTAGCATTATTTTTGGCTTGGAGGTAAAGGAGTGAGTCGGCCGGGGATCGAACACCAGACCATGTGCATGGTCAGCAAGCGTCCTAGCCGCTCTGCCACCGACGCTTTAATTCATTTTAACCGAGTTAAATAGTCGAAGAATCCTTCCTTTCATGTGAATTCTGTGAGGTTTCGTATCTCTCTGTACTTTGGTTACTATTTTCGTGTCTAAGTATTTTAAACAGCTAACACTGACGTGAGCTACATAAAAAACTATGGAAGGCTGAACTGTCACTTTCCAGTAGATGATAGGATTCAGTGTGTTGGCTACAATTTATGGTTTCGTAAAGTTTACACAAGTTTATCACCCTTAACCTGTAGGAGATACAGTAAGTCATCAACCCCCTGAGTGTACCAATTCTGCAAATATTCTTTGGATGTCTTCATTCAAGAGACCGTCGAATTCTCGCATCCACGATGTTGACAAAATGTAGATGAGGAGAACAAGCCAGTAAATAAAGTCGATGTCAGTAACATCACTTCTGTGCAGAGACATGAGGGTACGGCGAAACTACACCCTAAAGTAATGACTATAAAAGAGATGCGAAGTTCTCGACAATCCTCTGGTAAGACACGTAAGAAACCTCAGAAATCCAAAAGGGCAAGCAATGTTAACACTGTAAGACCAGTAGGTGAGACTACTATGACGAAGCAAAGCGAGTCGAATGGAGGGATGGTTCCTGGTTCTTCTACTCCGGAAAGAGTAGAGGTCAAAAAGAGAGGTAATACACAGGAGTGGAGGGGGGAAGAATGGTAGCATGGACTAATATTGTTTTACTGGATATTATAAATCACAAAGAGTGAATGTATCTGCACCAACCATTGAGAACGATTTTGAGCTATATCACCGATTGTCTTCAGCCATTGGTTTTCTTACTATTCCGAGAATCCCGACCAGGAAGTTTAAACTTCCCTATGTGGCTCAAACTAACGGTTATAGACTTCATTGACTGATGAAGTCATGTTTTGGTTTGATCACCACCAGCTATTTTTCAACCAAATTTTATATCACCTAACATTGCCCGTCGAAGTAGGCGAGATCACTGGTGGAATCCAACGCCACATAGATAGTACCAAAAATTAGGAAGTCAAAAAAGTACAGAAAAGAGAAAACCGTGAGATCCACTTGTAAGTTCTCTACGGCAGTCAATACTGTTTTGAAAACTGACTCCACTTAGTATCATTATTGAGAACTTGGAGGAATCAACTGAAGTAGACCCAGCCGTTCGTCATTCATGTGATCTGGAGGAAGTCGGTTCTATTTTTCGCGACACAACAAAGAGTTCATGTAAGAAATATCATGAGAATTGGAAAACGAAATACTGATGCAAGAGAAAGCTCTTGACGACTATTGAAAATACTACTAGGGAATGAGACGGAAGAGAATATTAATCCCAACAACGCATCTATGATCCTGAATGGGAAGTTGAAAATGAAGCCTGACCAGCCGTAAGAGGATAAAATTAAAAAGGAAACTATAAAGGAACTTAGGGTTAGTTTTGATAAAGGGGAAACATCCCTAAGATGTCGGGTTTTCGGATGGTGAGGTCTTGGAAACCAAGGTTGCTAAGAGATATACTCTTAAGTCGTACGAGAGCACAGATGTATCAGTGTCCTACGAGAACGCAAGCAGTCTTGGAAGAAGCTTCTGAATAAGGAGTATTATCTGAAGCAGTGCAACATGATCTCATAACAATTACCGAAACACAGTTGTCAATGGGTGTGAACCTCACTCCACTTATACCGGGGTATACCTGGGTTGGAACAGAGCTAATCAAAAAACGTGGGGGATGACACAGGAATCAGATTCGACAGCCACAAAAGGCCATGATAGCGGTATTAATGAAGCCACAAGTTATTTTATTAACTTAAATAAGGGTACTGTAACGACATAGGTTATTTACAAAAGTCCCGCCTATCTAGCTGGTGACTTCGTTCTAGGTCACCTGAGACTGTGGAGTAGTAGAAACAGGTGTATTGTATTAGGTGAATGTATACTGCCGTCATATATTAACACCAACTAGCCTGACAGTCTTCGAATATGCACTCGTACAGATGTGCTTGTATCAACACGGTGAACCCTGAATATGACGCATCTATCGTGGACATACGGGAAATTAGGTGCTTTCTACCTTAGGCTGATATTCCCCCTAAATGTAACATACCTACCACTTATGGAAATCTTTACATCAACTGACACGGGCTACGTTAACTAGGGAATAAAAGGATGCGGTTATGAAGCGCAGAGGTGAACAGCCAACTTGTATCTAACCACTGGTCTGTCAGTCTGATATGAATTATGACCAAGCCATAAGAAAGTCATAAAAGAACAGCTATTAGCTCATATGGAGAAACAGCCTATTGGGGGAGGAACATACATTCCGACCAAGACGATCCTGCTTAACAGACATAATGTCAATTAGAGAAAAAAGGGTAGGAGCCAAGGTTGGAAACCCACCTCTAGACATCGTTTTCATCGATTTAAGTACAGAATTCGATAGGATGTTCCCCAGAACCTCCCTGGATTAGATCAGTGCCAATTTGATCAGTTTAGGAACTACCTACTGGGTAGGAGGCAAAACGTAAGGGTTAATTTTGTACTGATGAGGTGGAGATCAGCATCGAGGGGACTAACACGGGGTACTGTTCTGGCGCTCTCATATCCTTGCTAAATATGAACGAACTGCTGAAAATTCTTACCTCATCATTATTATTAGCGACTAATATTAAAATCCGGAAAACTGTAAGTAATAATGGTGACAGATTAGAATTATAAGGTGATTCAGGTAAAATGACCCTTTGTTCCCCCTTATCGAGCTCGGAAGTTAATACCCATAAAAGCCGAGCAATGCACCCAGAACGGAAGTCCCAGACATAGTACTTCATAAAGGAAACAGAAACGCTTGATTTCATAATACACATATTTACACATATATTAAGAAAAAACGCTTAATGTTAGGAGTAAATAGAAATATTCAATTATTGCCAACAATCATTTACAAAAAATTGCATATTTTATACAGCAACAGATAAGTGCCACAACAACATCCCAGGTCTTTCACACGTTGAGTTCATGTCTAAAAAATTCTACACAGAATTAGTCAAGGCTAAACGACACTATTTCAAATAAAAAGCCAAATACATCTTGAAAAGCCATCAGGAAACAAAAAGGATAAAACCCAAGAAGACAAAACTCCACACTTAATTCAATAAGAGGTTAAAAACAAGAAATAAAACTAGGATGAAATCGATTAAAAATATTTGTGATTATAATAACGATTAAATGTCAAGTGGCAAAACAATTATTGTCATGTACAGAATAATCCATGGGATGTATGGATGTTTCAAAGGGGTGTATAAATATAGGGTTAGTAGGCTAATATAAAACATCACATAACATGGTGTAGCATTTGATAAGATTCAGATTCAGATGATAAGGATAGAAGGCTCTTGTGACCTGTGTTAATCCTTGCAAAATATATCTCTGCAGAGATCTAACTTCTCTTTGAAACCGTTTACCGACGGAGCTGATACTACTGAATCAAGTAACGAGTTCCAGTCGTTGACCACTCTGTGAGAGAGTCTAAATTCTGCATGTATTTTAATCGTCCTCGGTTTGAGCACCTTTTTGCGGTGACCCGTAAATGTATCCTAGATGGGGAGAAAAGTTTAGAAAGGTTAGTTCTTAAATCACCCTTAAGTATACGGTGTGCTAAAATTAAGTCGCGTCTCTTCCTTCGGTATGATAACGGGAAGAGATTTAAATGCTCCATCCTCTTATCATAAGGAAGGTGTGAGATAGCACTAATTAATTTCATCCCTACTCTCTGTACTCTTTCCAGGATATGTGTCTCCTTTTCGAAGCATGGACTCGTCGCTTGTATGCAGTATTCTAGATGAGGCATTACATATGTTGCGTAGAGTATTTAGAACATGTTCTCGTCTAATCGTTTGAAAGCCCTTCGAAGTGCCCATAGCATACGAAAAGCCTTAGCTGCGGCTGCATTGCAATTTCCAGTTGTTTTTAAATCATTGCTGACAATGATTCCTAGGTCCTTCTGTTCGTTAACATCAGGTAGTTCTGTGTCCCCTAGAGAGTACGACGTATAAGACCTCTGACCTAAGTACATTACTGCGCTTTTACTAGAATTCATTTCCAAACTCCACAGGTTCGACCACTCAGCTAATTTATCTAGGTCAGTTTGTAGGACCAACCTATCCTCGTTATTATTTACAGTTTTCCAGATCTTAATGTCGTCCGCAAATAATAATGAAGATGAAGTAAGAATCCCCGGTAGTTCATTAACGTATAATAGGAATAGCAAGGGGCCTAATAGAGTTCCCTGAGGCACTCCACTGGATACTGCTTTCCACCCTGGTATTACACCGTTAACTCTAACCTTCTGCCTTCTATCCATTAGGTAATCCCTAAACCACTCACATAGGCATTGGTCTGGTCCGAAACCTTTAAGTTTACTAAAGAGACCTAAGTGGGATACTTTATCGAATGCCTTGCTAAGATCGATAAAAACCACATCCAACAGAAGGTTTTTATCTCTGACCTCAACCCAGTCTTCCCTAGCCAATAGTAGGTTTGTCAGGCACGACCGTCCTGGTCGGAATCCATGCTTTTCCACCACCAGCAAGCCATGTTTTTCAACATAAGCTAATAGCTGATCCCTTATAATAGTTTCTAATACCTTTGCTACAATGCATGTCAGACTTACCGGCCGGTAGTTAGATACCAATTGCCTGTCCCCCTCTTTGAAGATAGGGCTTATAATGGCATCCTTCCAGTCCCTGGGTAGCTTTAGCCTAGGTCAGAGGCATTTGGAAAATCTCCGTAAGTGGAATATATATTATATCCGCCAAGGAAATTAACAGTTTAGGGTGAAGTCCATCGGGCCCAGGTGATTTACGATTTACCTGGCTTCAGTTTAGACAGTAGTTTGAGGACTTCTGTTTGTGCTCTACCACAATTGAGGGCATCTGAGTGGCGATGGCAGTGACCTCGCTATATCCCTGGGCGATACGATCAGACGAGAAGTCACAGAAGTATTCAGAGAGGTTTTCAGCCTTTCCTTCGTCTGACTCAGCCGCTTCTCCACTAATGCTTATGAGTAACGGTATGCCACTGCTAGTTTTAGTCCTACGTTTAATATACGAGTATAGCCTTTTTGGGTGATAAACACAATCTAGTACTAGCCGTCTCTCGTACTCTATACGACTCTTGTTAGTCACATACAGAGATTTCGAATTTTGCGGTTGTCTTTCTGGAAATTTTCCCTTCCTGTCGTAATAAATTGGTCTCATAAGTTCTTCCTCCGTCTTAATAGCCTCCTTATTTTACTAGTAATCCAAGGTGGCTTATGCGATAGCTTTCGAGGAGTGTACCAAGGTATAAAAGTTAAAGTGACACAATCTAGTGCATTCTTAAATCCCACCCAAGCTTCCTCGACAGTCCAACTTGTATCAACTGACCAGTCAACTGCAGTTGCTGCGTTCCGGATTCCCTGTATATCCGCTTTCCAAATGTTTGGACGAGCAGATTTTGACCTGTGTATGAGAGAATGAATCTTAAACGCAAAAGCAATGACTATGTGGTCATTGCTGCCAAGATAGGAAAGATTTCCGAATCTGCAATATGGAATACTTGATCGACTACTGTCACTCTACCGACCCTGATCATAATCCTAAGTGCATCAACCAAGTCTATTCTAACTTGCCTCTTTTTCTTTGTTATAAACTTCTAAAGACAGTGTAGGCCTTGGCAATTCATGACTTTAAGCCAGATCTTTGTGTGCAAAAGAAGTACGTACAATCCCTACCTCTGCCTTGGCCGTAGAGGGATAGACATTTATTTTGTTTATTTAGTTATTGTTTGCACCTCTCCCTCATTACCACGATTACTATCATTATTCTCACTTTGTTTCCACTTGTCTTTCTAAATCTATAATTTTTACAATGTTGAATTCTATCTTGGCAGCAATGACCACATAGTCATTGCTTTTGCGTTTAAGATTCATTCTCTCATACACAGGTCAAAATCTGCTCGTCCAAACATTTGGAAAGCGGATATACAGGGAATCCGGAACGCAGCAACTGCAGTTGACTGGTCAGTTGATACAAGTTGGACTGTCGAGGAAGCTTGGGTGGGATTTAAGAATGCACTAGATTGTGTCACTTTAACTTTTATACCTTGGTACACTCCTCGAAAGCTATCGCATAAGCCACCTTGGATTACTAGTAAAATAAGGAGGCTATTAAGACGGAGGAAGAACTTATGAGACCAATTTATTACGACAGGAAGGGAAAATTTCCAGAAAGACAACCGCAAAATTCGAAATCTCTGTATGTGACTAACAAGAGTCGTATAGAGTACGAGAGACGGCTAGTACTAGATTGTGTTTATCACCCAAAAAGGCTATACTCGTATATTAAACGTAGGACTAAAACTAGCAGTGGCATACCGTTACTCATAAGCATTAGTGGAGAAGCGGCTGAGTCAGACGAAGGAAAGGCTGAAAACCTCTCTGAATACTTCTGTGACTTCTCGTCTGATCGTATCGCCCAGGGATATAGCGAGGTCACTGCCATCGCCACTCAGATGCCCTCAATTGTGGTAGAGCACAAACAGAAGTCCTCAAACTACTGTCTAAACTGAAGCCAGGTAAATCGTAAATCACCTGGGCCCGATGGACTTCACCCTAAACTGTTAATTTCCTTGGCGGATATAATATATATTCCACTTACGGAGATTTTCCAAATGCCTCTGACCTAGGCTAAAGCTACCCAGGGACTGGAAGGATGCCATTATAAGCCCTATCTTCAAAGAGGGGGACAGGCAATTGGTATCTAACTACCGGCCGGTAAGTCTGACATGCATTGTAGCAAAGGTATTAGAAACTATTATAAGGGATCAGCTATTAGCTTATGTTGAAAAACATGGCTTGCTGGTGGTGGAAAAGCATGGATTCCGACCAGGACGGTCGTGCCTGACAAACCTACTATTGGCTAGGGAAGACTGGGTTGAGGTCAGAGATAAAAACCTTCTGTTGGATGTGGTTTTTATCGATCTTAGCAAGGCATTCGATAAAGTATCCCACTTAGGTCTCTTTAGTAAACTTAAAGGTTTCGGACCAGACCAATGCCTATGTGAGTGGTTTAGGGATTACCTAATGGATAGAAGGCAGAAGGTTAGAGTTAACGGTGTAATACCAGGGTGGAAAGCAGTATCCAGTGGAGTGCCTCAGGGAACTCTATTAGGCCCCTTGCTATTCCTATTATACGTTAATGAACTACCGGGGATTCTTACTTCATCTTCATTATTATTTGCGGACGACATTAAGATCTGGAAAACTGTAAATAATAACGAGGATAGGTTGGTCCTACAAACTGACCTAGATAAATTAGCTGAGTGGTCGAACCTGTGGAGTTTGGAAATGAATTCTAGTAAAAGCGCAGTAATGTACTTAGGTCAGAGGTCTTATACGTCGTACTCTCTAGGGGACACAGAACTACCTGATGTTAACGAACAGAAGGACCTAGGAATCATTGTCAGCAATGATTTAAAAACAACTGGAAATTGCAATGCAGCCGCAGCTAAGGCTTTTCGTATGCTATGGGCACTTCGAAGGGCTTTCAAACGATTAGACGAGAACATGTTCTAAATACTCTACGCAACATATGTAATGCCTCATCTAGAATACTGCATACAAGCGACGAGTCCATGCTTCGAAAAGGAGACACATATCCTGGAAAGAGTACAGAGAGTAGGGATGAAATTAATTAGTGCTATCTCACACCTTCCTTATGATAAGAGGATGGAGCATTTAAATCTCTTCCCGTTATCATACCGAAGGAAGAGACGCGACTTAATTTTAGCACACCGTATACTTAAGGGTGATTTAAGAACTAACCTTTCTAAACTTTTCTCCCCATCTAGGATACATTTACGGGTCACCGCAAAAAGGTGCTCAAACCGAGGACGATTAAAATACATGCAGAATTTAGACTCTCTCACAGAGTGGTCAACGACTGGAACTCGTTACTTGATTCAGTAGTATCAGCTCCGTCGGTAAACGGTTTCAAAGAGAAGTTAGATCTCTGCAGAGATATATTTTGCAAGGATTAACACAGGTCACAAGAGCCTTCTATCCTTATCATCTGAATCTGAATCTTATCAAATGCTACACCATGTTATGTGATGTTTTATATTAGCCTACTAACCCTATATTTATACACCCCTTTGAAACATCCATACATCCCATGGATTATTCTGTACATGACAATAATTGTTTTGCCACTTGACATTTAATCGTGATTTTAATCACAAACAATTGAATTCCATTGAGTAGGTGTAGGATCTCACGTGGAAATCTCAGAAGGATAACTCACAGAGGGCAAAGACCCGAGTGCACTCCCACTTCTTTTCACTGCGGGTTTGCCGTCCCTGGAATTCCTTCTCGGCAGATGTAGCTATGTCACTGTTTTGGTCGCCTTTAAGCGAAGGCTGGACAACCATGGAGCGACACAAGGACTGCATCCAAATGTCCTATCCCCTCAAAATCGCATTCACTATTCAGGGGTAGACAACTATACTCGTCGTTTTACTTCTTTACATTCTCTCCCGTCTTACTCTCCTGACAGCTTATTAATATTATAATTATTACTACTATTATATATATATATATATATATATATATATATATATATATATATATATATATATTATTCCTCAAACTTAATCAGGTGACTGTTGTTACGCCTTCCTATTTCGGTTTCTGTCTCTCAGTCTGAATAACTTCACTAATTATATCTATTATTATTATTACTATCTTTTTTCTTGTCGACGATACCGGAGTACTAACTGGCGTAAGGATCAACTCCAATCACAG